AGCGTCACGGTATGGTGCGTAACAGTATTTCCCCTCGTCACAAAAAAAAGGCCAAATAAAACCACACACATCGTGAGCGTGGGCAAATAGATACAAGGCAAATGATACCGCCTAGACGTTGGGAAATTCTGAAGAAGACCGATGCGAGGGGTCCATAGTTCATCTGTATTAGTGCTCTACTAGTTATAGGTGTCGCCGCACACGGGCCACCGACCAAAACCACAAAACGCCGCCACTCGCATATTTCTTGTAGTTTTCATACATTTTATATGGGCTCGCCACACACGGTACACCGGTGGCTGCCACACGCTACAAATTGTCATTGCTCGCTTCTTGTGGCCCGCACCGGCCACATAATGCGCCGATACAAAACTACGCCACACGTCACTCGCGCGATTCCCCACCCCTCTCTCCCTTACCTTAGTCGGCCGCTGTCGCGCGCTTCAGCCACTTTAGTAGCCGCTTCTAGCTTCTCGTGGCGGCGTTTGTGGCTGTGGCGTGTGGCCCGTGTGCGGCGACACTTAAGGATGACGAGAGACAAATGATGGCGAGTGTCACCGTGTGCCGACAAGCGACGCCAAATTAGGTCTATACATATTGGCGCTCCTCTTGTCTCGGCAAATTGGGCAAGCGACACCGAGCGATGACAAGGCAAGACAAATATGCTGTCTGTACTTTGATATTGGCCTCTACTTAGCCGACAAGTATTTATTATTTACACAAAACGGGCTTTATTATTTACACAAGAATCAGTATGTTATAGTATTGCGTTAAACATTGTAAATCTTTACTGCACATTGTTGATATACTTACCTTAGAATTGCGAATATCTTTTAACGTAGGCACACCATCCAACAATACATTTTGCTGAAATAGGTATATAAATATAATATAGGTTATTGAGCAATTGAAGTGTGAAATATTTTGCGACATATTATTATTACCATTACCATAAACTGGTATCTTGGTATCTTCACAAACCCTCGAGTCGGATCCATGAAATGACGGATTTGACGACCTCCGTGGCCGAAAGGTTTGTACGCTGAGTTACATGGTGTCGCCGACTCAAGAGATCCCGGGTTCGAATCCTGGTGGGGGCAGATGTTTGTGTGATGAGTACGAGCATTTGTACTTCAGTCATGGATGTTTAATATGTATTTCTATATAAAAATATACATATGTACAATATATGTATTCTATCCGTTACCCTCGTATCCCATAACACAAGCCTTACAGTGCTTACTTTGGGACTAGGCTAATTGGTGCGAGTGTTGTAAATATTTATTTATTTATTTATTATTTAAAGATATTTACCAACTACCAAAGTTCTATTCCTAGAGTAATTTGATATAATTAAGAATTCATGTATCCAAAATCTCTTTAAATCTATGAAGTTTGAACTTAGAGGCGAGACGGACAATGTTTTTTCCATACAAACGTTCTCGGCTAATTCCTCCTAGATTTTTATCACTAAAGAAATTATTTTCATACACAAAATATAATTTTACGAATTCTATGATCCTTTATCTTCCTTTTTTCGATAACTTTTTGTTTTGGCTTCACGCCTAGCTTCGCGCAAGTCTCACGCCTGGGATACGAAGAAGCCGATAAGCAATCCGCGCGGCTTACGAGCGCTTACGGTATACTATCCGCAAAAAAACCCTGCGATTACCCTCTATGCTGTTAAGTGCGGTACCATGAGATTCCCGTTGATGGATTTCACCGCGTCTCCGTCACCTGACAGCTTTCCGGCCTAGCCAGGGCTCCACGGCAGGATGGGATCTCGTAGAATGTGAAATTGTGGGTAAAACACAATTGATTTCACTGCGCGATTTTGTAGCAGGATAAATCACACTAATATTATAAAGGTGAAAGTTTGTGAGTGTGTATGTTTGATTCTTCTTCACGTCTAAACGGCTGGAGCGATTTTAATAAAATTTGGTACGGAGTTAGCTGACACCCTGGATTAACACATAGGCTACGTTTTAATGCGGGAAAATGAAAATAAATAAATAAATATTGCCATCACACCAATTAATCTAGCCCCAAAGTAAGCACTTTAGGCTTTTGTTATGGGATACTAGGGAAACGGATATAATACATATACTGATACATATGTAAGTATAATATTTATATAGAAATACATATTAAACATCCATGACTTGAGTACAAATGATCATAATCGAATTCATCACACAATCTTCATACAGGATTCGAACCTTGCAAACAAAACTGCGGTCTCGTGAGGTTTGTTAATAAAACAGCTCTGCGGTCGCCCGCGGCGTGTGTGGGTGAAAAACCTACCCGTGAGTTCTTAACCTCATCTGCCTCAATAGCTCTGTTATAGTTTGGACTCTGCTACCACTTAAAATCCAGTGCAGTGGAGTAATTTGCTCGGACTTTAATAACTAGCGATTTACAACGGAGACAGAAACCCTTAATATTAAATAACTTTTCCTATTACATAAATACTTGCGTTCAATTTAAAACTCTTCTTAAACCAACAAGTATTAACTATCTTTACAGAGAGAAATCAAATAAATCATACTCACCGCAACAGAAATGGAAATAAACATTAACAAATAGAATGGACGCAAGTACATTTTCGGATTGTTCGCTTTTCTATCTCGGAATGGCGGAGAAACCGTTAATTATGATAAAAGCAATTATCTTTTCAATTTTCTTGCTTATTACTCGCGTTAAACTAAGGTTGTGTGTATATTCGGTGTAGTTATCTCGATATAATTACTAAAAAAATATTGGTTTTTATTTTTATATTTTAACATTACATTGTGGGTTACCTACAATGCAAAGAGATGGCGCTGCCTTGCAGCTTAAGGCTAGGAAAATTTCGACGCGGCCAATAGGGCCGTGGTAGCATAATGGTCAGTGCATTCGCCCGGATTGCGAAGGGTGCGGGTTCGAGTCCCATCCGCTGCCTGGTCCGCGTGGATTTTTTTCTAGTAAACTTTTCTTTAGATTTAAACAGTAGTTCAAAAAGGCAGCGAACTATTCGGCTCGAATCGGAGCGCCCGTCTGGGGAAGTAACGTCCACCTTACAAAAGACTACAGTAAAGGTGAACGCAGACTTGGCCGCACCGCACGCGTCGCAGTCGCCGCAGTCCTTAAACGACCGAACTCCCCAACCCACAGCTGATGACGTCACCAACGCCCCGGCCCGCACGCAGCGGACGCTGCGGCTAGCGCGGCGCGGATGACGTCATTCGCATCAACTGAATGAATGAAATAATAATAATAATAATAATAATGCGGATAGATGTGCGAGGCCATTAACACAAAGCGATGACTGCGGGGACTGCGGAGACTGCGGTGCGGCCAATCTGCGTTCACCTTAAAATAACACTACCGTTTGGTGGTGTTGTGTTTCTGTCTTAGAGTAAGGTTTCAGGGCTTCGCGAGGGGATTGGGGTCAGGGTAGGCAACGGTGCGAGTGTTTTTTTTTGTACCGAAATTCTTATTTTTTAGTAATCTCGAATAAAAAAAGTCAACGTTATTACTATTGTAATTGACTACAGGCAAAGAGAGCGGCGATTGTATGTCCCAAAATCTATACGAACTATTGACTTTGCTGGATCGGTCTCTTGCACACTTTTATAACTCCTGCCTGTCTTGTACCCTTAGTACGAGTTTTAAGGGTACTGTACCCTTAGCACGAACCATTATAGAATTCGAATAGTTTGCAAACCAAAATGTCAATGTCAAATTTTGTATGGAAACTTGAACAGCCTGCAGCGGCTCAAAGTACGTAACTAGAACTAAAAATCAGTACACATTTGACAATGACATTTTGGACTCGCAAACGATACGAATTCGATATTGGTTCGAGCTAAGGGTACTGTTCGTATTTACGTTTTCCTTGTCGCCTAAGGAACCGTAAAAAGACACATGCTGTTTTTGGTATTAACAATACCTTTACCAACACCAATCCTAACTTCATCTTACAAATTGACGAATATTCGTTATCTGTTTTTAATTCCTATTGCTGGATAGAGAACGCTCTTGTCTTCCTTTATGCCAATGGATAATAATGTACTGTCTTTTCCATTGATCTTTTGTATTGTGTTCAGAGAGGACTAAACGATTGGCGCGACTTGTACAAGCGTTGACATCCTTCTTATAGCCTGGGTTCTTTCATCAATCAATTAACGGGTCCCTCAAAAGAGGCGTCAAGATGTAACTTGCAGGCCAGCAAGGTGAGAATGGCTCGCGTGGCAGATACAACTACTGCGCCAGTTACCTTTGTACAATTATTTAACTTTTAAAAAAAGGGGAGGCTATTCTATTTCCTAACATACTCAGGATGCCGTAACAACGTTTCCGCAACCGATGCACCAGTGACGCAACTTTTGTGAGCATTATAGCATAAAAGTCATCAGTGCTTGCACTACAGTAGCGTGGAAGTCGAAACAGAGCCGTGAATATGTCATCTTCTATTTCTATATATATAAAACTCAAAGGTGACTGACTGACATAGTGGTCTATCAACGCACAGCCCAAACCACTGGACGGATCGGACTTTGACGGAATTTGGCATGCAGGTAGATGTTATGACGTAGGCATCCGCTATGAAAGGATTTTGATCAATTCTGCCCGCAAGGGGATAAAATAGGGAATGAAAGTTTGTATGAAACTTTGTCAATTTTAAACCGATCGGGCTGAGATTTTGCATGCAGGTATAAGAAGAATCATAGATGAATGTCATTTTGTATAATACAAGCCTGAGAACAAAAACTGTAGTCTACACCGAAGCGAAGCGAGGGTGGGCCGCTAGTTATACATAACTCTAAGAGCATTGCAGGCACTTTTAGTAAAGTTGATCTATATGCTGCATGTATAAAAACTTTGACAGTAGGATGCTTTAAAAAGTGTCAATTTAACAGCAGCTGTGCTATATCTATAGAAATAATGTATCATTGAGGTGTGCAAAAAGGTTTTGAAGAAAACACGTTTTTTTTGTGATTGCGATATATATTTTTTAATTATGTATTTACTGCATAAGATTGCCATGATCTCTTCTTTGTCTGTAATTAAATAAAGAATAAATCAGAAAAAAGGAATACAAACAAGCAAAAATGCGCTAATGATGCATAGTTTCTGGACTTCTGGGGATTTTTGTAATACGGCATCAGAATTAACACACAACTTTTTTTGTGACTGGTAATGTAAAATAAGACCTAGGAGATCACAACTTTTCGTGAAAAAATATTTTAAATTCGATAATATTGATTAAGTCAGATTTCTGAATGAGTGTCAGCTTGGATTGCATGTCTTTCTATATGGAAAAACAATTGTATTATTTTATTGTTTTACGTTCTAATTCTAATTTTCAAATTTAGAATCTTATCGGTAAAAGAAATTACAAAAAAGTCTTCTGTAACACAAAAAAACAATCTATTTTTCAAAGTGATCACAAACTTTTTTTGATGTGTGTACATACATGCATTGTAAGCTTAGATTAAAACAAAAAGGGTAGATACGGTACGCTCATACTTGCATCAAACAAAAACTGATCCCACGGCAGCGCGAACGGGACGGCGAGATCCGCGTCACTGCATTACCGACCCGAACGAAACAGCACATTAAGTTTCAACGGCAGCGCGAACGAGACGGCACTGCATTACCGACCCGAACGAAATAGCACGTTAAGTTTCAACGGCAGCGCGAACGAGACGGCGAGATCCGCGTCACTGCACTACCGACCAATCACGCGACCAGTACTCGACGTCACTACCGAATAAGATTCAAAACAAACAGCAATTTTTATGAAAAAATATATTTTATAGTACTTACGAATGAAAAGTGATGCCGTGGGTTTTATTTTTAGTTCTTGAGCAATTGAGCACTTTTTAAAAATACACTTAGGCATTGTTTTATCATATAAACTCAAAATATTAGCAGTATTTCTTTTTGGCGTTCACATGTACGTAGTTTGCATGTCAAGTTGTGACTAAATCGATTAGGGTCGTGGACCACAATGCATGAGGATCACTTTTGTCTAGCCTCACAAAAGTGATCCGCATGCATTGTGGTCCACCGATCGATGCCGTTTCTACCCTTTTTGTTTTCATCTAAGATTGTAAGTTATATAAAAGTTTTAATAGGACTCCATAATCCTCCATAATCCATAGGATCCTTGATGAAAGTACGCTGAAAAAATCACGATCCTTTGTCATAAAAGAAAAACACATTCCATAAAATTTTCAACAGTCGTATATACTGACAGAGGAACAGCGGAGGCCTAACAATAGGATTTTATTTTCACTTTTTAGGAACGTGTTCCCAAAATCTTAATATCTCGTGTTCTTAAAGCACGTATCTATTTTAATCATCAAATATTATACTTCCGGACACATTTATTGGCCCACTTAGTATTATATGTTTCAAAAGTCTAATAGCAAGAATACATGTGTATGTTTGAGTAATACTGAGCGTGGACGTTGACAGTTATTCTGCTTAACTGCGCCATCATGAAGAAAATGGAGGGGTGGGGGTTGGGCCTCCTATAGTCTCACTCACTCGCCTCGACCGGAGTGATACCAAGACCTCACAGAATACCGGAGAGAAGCAGTACTATGTGCTGTGTTTCGCCGAGTGAGTGAGACTGCCGGTGAAGATCCTATCTTCGGAAATCGTGATGCTTGGTGATTTCAATGCTCACCACTCCGAATGGCTTGGATCGCACACTCTCGATCACGCAGGTAGGTAGGTCTACACACGATTTCGCATTGGTTGTCTGATACAATTGGTTACCTTGTCTACGCGAATGCGAATCCATCCAGCGACACGAGACAAGACGAAAATTCCGGGACAATCCCGGATTTCCCGGCCATCTGGCCAGCCTAGTTTAAGTGTTATGTTGTGTTGTGCGTGACGCATCAGAATGGTATCGGTTTCATACATTTAGTACGGTGAGATTTACATTTGCATCTGACGGATCGGAAGAGATTCCGATCGCATCAGGTTAGGAGAGGCCGCCTACAACGCATCAGACAAGCATGCACGTACCAGAATTACGTACACATACGTGCACGTTGTTGTGATGCGTCAGTGCTTATATTTCTACTAAATATTTATTAAAATTAAATATGAAGGTATGGACTACCTGATCGAAATTGTCGAAATTATGAAGTTATTTATAATATAAAATGTAAAAAATACAGAGATCAGTCCATTAGATCAGATGTTTGGGAAGAGATAAAGAAATAAAAATGAATATCGTCTTTTATTCAAATATTTCTTTAGAACATTTTCTAGCCCCAAAATCTGAATCTTCTTCAAAATCCAAATCAGAATCTGAGGATTCATGGAAAAATATTGCGAATGAGTAAACTCTTCGAGAGCTACGAAAAAACCGTTTACCAATATCGTGACGTAGAAGGTAACATTTAGATCTGAACGCTATCCATTACACCCGAGCCCGTCACGACACAACAACAACACGTCAGACAAATATAAACCCGGCTTAATGGCTACACTCAAGTGGCAATACTGACAGGATTTCACTAACTTTGTTTTTATTCGCTTTGCTCCCAGACATGCATCGGAGTATAATTTTACAAAAAAAAACAATTATATCCATTATTCAAGTAGATACTTACTCCACGGAGCTTCTCTCTCTGAAGACAATAAGACAAAATATTAGTATTCAGATATCTTACCTCACTTAAAATTAATCCATCAGAAACCATGGCCAAGTGCAAGTCGGACTCATGCACAAAGTATTCCGTAACATTATCCATACAACATCAGTCACTATATTATAATATAGAGCAAAAAGCAGCATAAAAATCACGTCTGTTGTATGGGAGCTCCCTTTAAATATTTATTTAAAACAGTTAAAGTTTAACAGTTATATTAAGTGTCGCCGCACACGCCACAGCCACAAACGCCGCCACGAGAAGCTAGAAGCGGCTACTAAAGTGGCTGAAGCGCGCGACAGCGGCCGACTAAGTTAAGGGAGAGAGGGGTGGGGAATCGCGCGAGTGACGTGTGGCGGCGTTTTGTTTCGGCGCATTAAGTGGCCGGTGCGGGCCACAAGAAGCGAGCAACGACGATTTGTAGCGTGTGGCGGCCACCGGCGTACCGTGTATGGCGAGTCCATATAAAATGTATGAAAACTACAAGAAATATGCCGGTGGCGGCGTTTTGTGGTTGTGGTCGGTGGCCCGTCTGCGGCGACACTAAAACTGGGCCTTAAAAAGAGCCTTCATATACTTGTTTAGAAGATTGTTTCGTGCTATTTTAGGAAGTTTCTTTATACTTATTGTTATTAATTTTGTTGATTTATTTATTGTTACCTATTTGACATTATATGATGGAAGTTGACCTTAACACACATGTTTGAAAGTTTGATGACAACTTTCAATTTGACAACACTGTATGAAAAAAACAGGGAGAAAAAAGCAGGCATTGCTGAGTTTTCCGCCGTAGTTTTGCGAACCGATGGCGTAGATTTCGACTTACATAAAGCCTAAACTGAATCAGTGATTTTTGAATTTCATATTTTATTTTATTTGTAGTATAAGTTGTTATAGTGGCAACAGAATTACACCAACTGTGAAAATATCAACTGTCTAGGTGCCACGGTCCATGAGACTTTATTTATTACGCCGGCAAAACCTCTAATTACAGACATTGGCACCAAGGGACACACCAACGAACGGACCTCACACCTAGCCTCTCGCAAGTGTCACGGGTGCGAAACGGAGAAGCCTTTAAGCAGTCCGCGCGGCTTACGAGCGCTTACGGCATACTATCCTCTAAAAACCCTGCGAATACCCTCTACGCTGTTAAGTGCGGAACCGCGAGATGCCCGCTCTTGTCTCAATCCAGGTTATCTATATTCATACGAATATTATAAAATGTGAAAGTGTATCATGATTGTTTGGTACTTCACACTTAAACCGTTGAGGCGATATATGTGGGACTTCACCGCGTTTCCGCGCCCAATAGCCTCCTGGCCCAGCCGGGGCTCATGATATACGGCCTGGTGACAGGCTAGCCCCAAAGTAAGCACTGTAAGGCTTGTATTATGGGATACGGATAGAATACATACACAGTACATAATATATATAAATACATATTAAACATCCATGACTGGAGTGCAAATGCTCGTATTTATGACACAAACATCCGCCCCCACCGAGATTCGAACCCAGGACCTCTCGAGTCGGCGACACCATGAAACCCGGCGTAAAAACGGCCACGGAGGTCGTCAAAAGTAGGTACTTACTCCATGAAGCCCCTGTCGTTGAGAATAATAAGAAGAATTATTAGTATTCAGATATCTAGACTTCACTTAAAATTTCAGAAATCGTAACCCAGGACGGACACCTCTAAATCCAGCCCTGCTTGTGTGTGGATATTAAGAAAACGCAGTCGCAAACGCAACGCAACTTAACTATCGCTTATAACCTAATACGGTTAGCGTAACCGTCTGTGATTTTGGAGTTTCAGAAACTGACACAATGGCCGCTCATTGGATGGGTTACCTAAAATTTACTCTGCTTGTGTGCATATTTAATAAAATGGGTTATGTTCCGTGGTCGTGGCACTTAACTATCACCTACGAGTATAACCTAATACGGTTAGCGTATCCCCCGTTAGGCCCCAGGGCTGGATTTAAGGCAGCCAAGCGGGTCTGTGTTAGTGTTGTTGAAACTTATTTGTAAACCATTAAATTTAACTAATAAATAAATGAACACATCCATTCGATAAATATTTTTAACCATATCGAATAAATATATTCATTCATTTCATGTTGATTTTTACGTGAGAGTGCCAACTGGTAAAATTTTAATCATAGAACAAACAAAAAAAATTGATTAAAATCAACCTGTGAAAAATATTCAGATATTGTATTTGAATAAAAATATTAACTAATATTTTTCAACCATTAAAGTTATATAATATTTTTATTCAGCTACACTTCTAGACACACCTATCGGCCCACTTACACTTATTGTTATAAGTTTCAACGGTATGTAGCAAAAATAAAAAAATAAGTTAGGTTGAGCAATAATAATATATTTTTAAAAACACACGAAAAAGATGGTTAATAAAGCAGCTTTAAAACTGTGTAAAATTTTTCTAGAGACCGTCAAAACCATATAGGTGAAAACTTCAAATGCTAAGTGGGTCGATAGGTGTGTACAATACAATATTGACTTTTGACTAATTTTTTTTTCAACCATTAATGCCACCTCGGGTCTACAACAGAATAAAAAAATAACCAAATTTCGACGGATCTCTAACCAGCCCCTCTAGCATGACCACCGAAACGAAAGCAATATATCGGCATTAACTGTCAGACTACTGTCAAACTTCACTGTAGTCTGAAAGTTAATGCCGATATATCGCTTTATCATATCCCATTTCGGTGGTCATGCTAGAGGGGCAGGGGGGGAGATGCAAGTCGTAAATGGCCCTGTGTATCAGATTTTAAAATGCGCCCAGGTTAGGGCCAACACTAAATCCGGCCCTGACGCTGATGATGATAATTGTATAATTACCTTCTGTGAGACCGCAAGAAGATCCAAATGTGAACAAAGTAAGACAAAGTATTAGATAAATGCAATAAACATTTATGTATATAACATATCAAAAACGGCGACGGAAAACATTCTATCCCTCTCACTCATTATTCCTGACAGGATAGGCGAAAGGAGCGGCAGTGCTATTCTGTAAAGACACAAGTTTTCACGCGCGGATCCGTACCGGATCCGCGCGATTGAACGCAATTTTTTTTATGTTATGGGGGGCATACGAGCAGACGTCTCACCTGATGGTAAGTGATCACCGTCGCTCATAGACACCTGCAACACCAGGAGTATCACAAATGCGATGCCGGCCTTTAAGGAAGGAGTACGCTCTTTTTTTGAAGGTTTTTAGGTCGTATTGGTCCGGAAACACTGCTGGCGACAATATATTCCACAGTTTTGTCGTACGTGGTAAAAAAATTCGACAAAGTAGCTAATCTGTAATATTGTCACGCGCAAAATTTTGTTTCCAGAAACATCATCGTCATCATCAGCCTATTAATGTCCCCACTGTTGGGGCACAGGCCTTACCTATGGATGGAATAGGGAGATTGGGCTATGACCTATCACGCGCGCCGAGTGCGGATTGGCGGGTGCTAACGATGCCACGCCACGGCCAGTGGCCCAATCTGCACTGTCCCCGCGTGGTGGGTCATGGCCCAAACTCCCTATTTCAAGCCTGTGGATACATAATTGGTTCTTTTTATGAATAATAACTTTATTTTACACAAATTCAAATCAAATAAGCCAATCTTGAAAAAGGGCAGAGAATATATGAAATTAATCTTTACTGTCTTTCGGTCTGTGTTCATGGAAGACAAGCAACTTTCACAATGGCCGGTGATAGATGGGTGACCGAATATGTATCTTTTATCTCTCTTCCGTTCTTCGCAAGACACGCGAGAGCGGTTGTTAAGAAGACGATTTCTTCCAGTTTTTTTTTGTTTTTTTTTGCGTTTTTTGACAGGTCTTTATGTTCGTTTTTTGTTTTTTATTTTATACTTTCTTTTTGCACGCCTCACAAGCGTAAGCGTGTGGGAGTGCTTTACTCTCGATAGGTCGCGGTATGTGACGATTTTATAAAATATAAAATCGCTCTTATCTCCCATCCATCCCATCGCCATCTCTTGTGAAGTTAGACACTAAATAAAAAAAAGGTGTTTTGAAAACTAGACACATTAAATTATAAAGTCAGCGTATTTTTTCTTTTTTTTTTAGTACATATAACAAAAAAATGTAGGTAAAAAATTATTAGTACTGTAAAGTATACGCAATAGGGTATTTGACAAGTTTTAGAAAACGATCTCACGTTATTGAGTAATATTTATGGAGTCCGTAAAAAGTGGATATTCATCATACTGTTGTGTATTTCAGTAAAAATAACCAAATTAAAATCTCCATTTACAAGTTGCCGCGAAAACGTTTCTTTGGACAATATGGCGTCTCACTGGTGTGTGACATCACCCGACTGTTATTTAAACGTCAAACGATACAATGTAATGTCACTTTAACCGGAAGTTTACTTGCGTGTGACGTCATTTTAGGCTCCGCCAATCCCAAGCGTTTTCGGTCACGTGACAATAGCTAAGAAAACTAAAATCTTTTTCGTGGGTTTTTAGTAAAATTATGAATATTTTTTCTGTAAAAATAGTGAAAATCTCTCCCAGTATTCATTCTAAACACAGATTACACAGATTACTACACACAGATCCTAACAATTGGCACTTTATTTTTAATACTGTCAAATACCCTATTAATTGTAATAAATCCTTTTGAATTTATTTCCACTTATACTGAGGATGAACCCTGTTTCTTATCATGATTGAACTGATAACCGTTTTAAAGATATTAATGAAATTCAATGGAATTTATTTACTGGGTTTCTGTTTCGTGAATGGGAGGGGTGCACTTTTGGATTTTCTAATATTTTTTTATATTATTTTTTCCTCTTTGGGTGCTTGTTTTTTTTCATCTCATTCTTTTGCGCTCTTTCTTTTGGAGTGGCTAGTTAACTGTTAGATGGTCAAAACAAGAATTTAAATTAAAAAAAATACATCAATATCATGAAATTATCCACCATGTCCGTTATTTTGTTTATTAATAATTGTTATATATACTAACCCAGTCAACCTACAATCGAAGGACGAAATATGAAAAAAAAAATGTTAATAAGTAATAAATAATAATAAAAATCAACTGATACACCCAATTGAATTTACATTATTGCAAAAAAAATATATTTTTGGTGGGTCAAGAAACGAATAGTAGGTACCTACTTACCCACAACATCCCCTTCATTTTATCACCCTAGAGGAGTGCTTTGAAATTAGTATATTAAAATTTATGCCGACAATAACATAATAAGTAGTATTTTTCTAATAACAACACGATTGCAAATAATTATGAAGAATTGTTGAAGTTGAAAGAAGTATTAATTTTCTTCGTCTGTTTCTGTGTAGAAAGAACGAGCCTTTCGAAGCACCGGACGAACTCGGGATAATACTTCAGATGTTTGGTCACCCATCCAATTACCGGCCATTGCGAAAGTTGCTGTACTTCCACAATCGCAGACCGATTACACTACCTCACTACGCCATCAGGCTCCTCATATTAATGTTATATGTAAAATATTGCACGAACAATGAATATTTTGATAGCATCTATCAATTACGAATTTTGATAGTATGACGACCTCCGTGGGCGAGTGGTTTGTACGCCGTGTTTCATGGCGTCGCCGACTCGAGAGGTTCCGGGTTCGAATCCCGGTGAGGGCAGATGTTTGTGTCATGAGTACGTTTATTTCTACTCCAGTCATGGATGTTTAATATGTATTTCTAAATAAATATACTTATATATGTACAGTACATGTATTCTATCCATTACCCTAGTATCTCATAACACAAGCCTTATAGTGCTTACTTTGGGGCTAGGCTGATTGGTGTGTGTTTATTTAATTAATGTAAGTAATACTTTTCTAGCGGCCCGAACAGAAGCCTTCGGTTCTGTAGCTGCGTTCGGTATTTACGTCTGACCAATATTTTTTGTGCGACTCGTTCGTTTATTACATTTACAGTAAATCTGAAGCGTTCGGTAATTCCGCTCAGATCAATCCGATGTTATTTGTTTGCTCAGAGTATTTTAACCGACGAGAAAGAATAATCTATTTTCTGTCATGTTGTGAGGTTTTGCTTCGAGTTGGTAGCTCCCACTAGGGTAGGGTATAGTAGTATAGTATTTTGGTAGCTTTTATGTAGAGGTAGGCAAATGACTCTACCCCACCTGATGTTAGGTGGTAATAAAGTCCAAACACGAAGATAGTTGGTACAGCAGTTATAAACTGCTACACCAACCATCCTCACTTTGCCGGCCTGCAAAAATGCTTCTTCACGCCTCTCTTAAAGGACCCCAGATTATAGGAAGGAGGGAACACATGAGCGGGTAAAGAATTCCACTATATATAAAAATATAGTCATCACCATCATCATCAGCCTATTAATGTCCCCACTGCTGGGGCACAGGCCTTCCCCATGGATGGAATAGGGAGTTTGGGCCATGACCCACCACGCGGGCCCAGTGCGGATTGGTGGATGCTAACGACTGCAGATGCAGCCGGGACCAACGGCTTAACGTGCCTTCCGAAGCACGGAGGAATTCGAGATAGTAAATTTTTGGTCACCCATCCAATGACCGACCACAGCGAAAGTTGCTTAACTTCAACGATCGCAGCCGAGCGCGCTAACCACTTGCGTCTCATAATATATATATAATATAGTAGGTGACAAAAAATATAGAATGTGATTAAACTATTTACATTAATTTTTATATGAGTATATTTTTGCGACTCTATATTTCGGTTTTTATTTTAAGAAAGCTTTTACTGGCAAAAGTATGCTTTAAGCAAAATTTAGTAATTTCGCCTACTATATATTTTTTGGCACAAACCTTCTTGACACAGCCCATTATTTGGAAGCTACGATGCCATAGACAGCTTATCTATGTATTTAATTGTATAGCATAGACAAACTTTCGCCTTTATAATTAGTGTGATTATTTGAACTTAAAAAGTGGCACTTACTCTAGGATTTTCTCTTACTCCAGGTCTAGGTTTACGTCCAGGCTGTTAAATTAATAAATTTCAACAATCAAATACATACAAAAATTTCGAACATACGAAATTCATCAACATCACAGCCTATTAATGTCCCTACTGCTGGGGCACAGGCCTTCCCTATGGATGGAATAGGGAGATTGGGCCATGACCCACCACGCGGGCCCAGTGCGGATTAGCGGGTGCTAACGACTGCAGATGCAGCCGGTACCAACGGCTTAGCGTGCCTTCCGAAGCACGGAGGAGCTCGAGATAGTAATATTTTGATCGCCTATCCAATGACCGACCACTGCGGAAGTTGCTTAGCTTTAACGATCTATTGGTATTGTGCTGCTTTTAAGGGGTGGTTTTAAGCAGTTACTCCTGAAAATACTCCGAGGATCCGAGCGACGCAATTAAATTAGATACCTGTTTGTAGTGCTCCACTTTATATATTAGATTACCGCACTTATATCATAACTAGCTGACCCAGCGAACTTCGTACCGCCCTAAAAAAATAGGGGTTGTCCAGCGGACAAAATTGTGAATCTAAACCATTCTCAGATCCCCTTGAACACACACAAAAAATTTCATCAAAATCGGTCCAGTCGTTTAAGAGAAGTTCAGTGACATACACACTCACAGAAGAATTATATATATAAAGATGTTACTTGTAGTTATTTTGTACACAATGTCTATGATCACCATAAAAAAACAATGTTAGCATCCGAATTTAGCATATGCGAAACTTTAGGATATTTTACTGTAAAATCTGAGGGACATTTCTGTATCGATGGAGCATTAGGGCGGATCTCGCGGAACCAATTTTTAAGTTTAAAATGCTTAAAAACTAAAAATATATAATTATTTATATATAATAACTAGTGGGTGCATGTGGCTTCGTCTGCGTGGGAAAATTGGCTTCTTGGCTAAACTGTACTTCCAGGGCCCAAGTGGTGATACTTCACACTAGGTTAGGTTAGTGTTGTGACCATAACGCGCAAGCCAAGCGAGCAAAACGTGCGTGCCGCGGTAGCGGCCGGCGAAGCGCCAGAAAAAAAAATATGTTAAAAAAGACCTTTTCTACAAAAAAAAACAAGTATCACCTTTTGGGCGATGGAAGAACAGTTTTACCCGAACTTCTTCTTTCAAATATTTAATACTTGTAAAGATATTCGTCTGAAATTGTGGATTTCCTACAATGCGAAGAGATGGCGCTGCCTTGTAGCTTAAGAAATACTAGGGGAAATTCAATACGGTTGTTAGGGCCGCGCTAGCATAATGGTCAGTGCTTCCGTCCGGATAGCGGAGGGTGCAGGTTCCAGGCCCGTCTGCTGCCTGGTCCGCGTGGATTTTTATCTGGTAACATTTTCTTTAGATATACACATATATACATGACGACATCTAGCGAGTCAGGGTGACCCACTGGATGGGGAGAGCGCAGGAATGTTCCATTTGGAAATCTCTTCAGGAGGCCTATGTCCAGCAGTGGACGTCCATCGGCTGATGATGATGATGATGACAAATACAGATATCTTTTTATAGGGGTAGGTACTAATAGCATACATCATTTGCTTTACTTACCTTTGGGGGATAATATGGCAGTTTCGGAATTGGACCGCCACGGCCAGGCTAAAATAAAATATGATTAATATTTAATTAAATAAAACTAGTTTTAACGGGTTAATGCACGAACTTTATTTATTGAGAGGTATCTCCAACACATTATCGTATTTTGAGCGTATAACGCGATTGTGGTCCACACCAAGAAATTGAAAACGTTCCTTGAGGTAAGTGGGAGTGCGGGGGTCATACAACACCTTATAAAGAAGTAAGAGGAGATGCTCTTCACGACGTTACCTAAAGGGAAGCCACTTGAGCTAGGATAGGTAGGTACTACATAGTATAAAACGAAGTCGCTTTCTCTGTCCCTATGTCCCTTTGTATGCTTAAATCTTTGAAACTACGCAACGGATTTTGATGCGGTTTTTTTTAATAGATAGAGTGATTCAAGAGGAAGGTTTATATGTATAATACATGCATAATATTGTAGAGAAACACTGATAATTTTAGAGGTTTTTAATGTAAGGTCGTAAATAAACACAGTTTTTTGCGCTTACATTGCAAACGCTGGCTGAACTCTACGAGATAGATCAAAATAATGTGCTACAGTATTGTACACCTTAAAAAGGTCTACAAAAAAGTCCGCGATGGTATATGTCTATCTCTTAGGGGTAACCCACAATAACCATTTTTTATTCTATACTTTTTACGAGAAATAAAAGATTATTTACGAAGCGATTTTCTGCAATATAACATTCATCCTTATCCAATTAAGTACCTTAAATGCATTGTGCATTTAATATAGACCAATTCGGCCCTTTAATGCATGTAATTTAAATGAATATTTTCGAAGATATTACAGATTTGAAATGCAGGGACATAGCGGTTCCGACGCTACCGGGCCGGGGGCTTGGCGGCGCGTGCCTATTGTAATTAGGTATTAGAAGAATGTCATTGTGTATAATACAAGCCTGAGAACAAAAACTATAGTCTACACTACAGCTCTACACCGAAGCGAAGCGAGGGCGGGCCACTAGTTAGATATATATCATTTGCTTTACTTACCTTTAGGGGATATGGCAGTTTCTGACTTGGGCCGCCACGGCCATTGCCAGGCTAAAATAAAATATAATAAATTATAAGATAAGATATCCACCACCACCACCACCATCGGCCTATTAATGTCCCCACTGCTGGGGCACAGGGCTATTTATATTTAATATAATAAAATTCATTAAGGTAAGATGCGTGCAATTCGGGTTCAAATATGAGGTAAAGAAAGCGATGGGATACCGATGTGCATGAGTAGTGATGTAAAAAAAAATACTTTTATCACTATTTTGAGAAAACAACATCAAAAAAACTTGGGGCCGGTGTCTTTTTTCTAATTTTTTTTTAGGTTTGTTGGCTGTTAACTGCGTTCATATTACAAACAAACATAAACCGAACTGGAAAATAATACGGAATTTCCAGTACGTCATCTGTGTTGCCAATTATTCAAAGCTTGGTTGTTAATTTTACAATAAAAAAAGTGTGGTAGGTTTTAGAATAAACAAAAAGTTTTAATTTAAACTCATAATAATTATTAATCTTAAGAGTGAAGTTCATTAATAATTTTAAATTCTGTGCTCGTGAAAAAAGAACATGCGCCTTTTTTACGTTAGAAAAAATGGGTTTATGGGGAAAAAGCAGTGTGCAATTTGAAGCTTTGGCCCCTATATATTTCTAGAAAATTTGAGCACTTTCGTAATTGACGAGGGCGACGATATAAAAAATATTGCAAAAAAAATAAAAAATACTATTAGAAAATTTGGTTCTTTGAATAAACTTCAGGGATAGTTAGAAAATTCCATGATAATTTATAGCTAAAGTAAATCTCAATTAATTGTATTCAACTCGAGAAAACCAGTTTTTACCTTCATAAATCCTGCGGGGCCTAATTTTTAGTAAAACTTGGAATCGTTATATATGCTATCGCACTTTCAGCCTTAGTTTCAATATTTACGCAAAATAACAGAAAAATCTGACTCAGAAATTTCAGGGGTAGTAATTTTTTAACTGGGCTGTATACGTCGCAGATGCGCGAATCTAGAAACTAAGGTTGCCAGTACGATTACAAATATTCCGATTCCAAGATTTTTGAATTAATATAGAAATCTTGATATACGGGTAGATAGATAAAAAGATAGATAAATTCTTTATTGCACACACACACAAAAGAATACAAAAAAGAAAACAATAACATAATGTGGGCAAAGGCGGCCTTATTGCTTTAAGCGATCTCTTCAAGACAAGCTTTGCGGTAAAGTGCCAGCAAGATAAAATAAAGAAATATACATATATTCTCTTGAACATATAAAGATTATAAAATAAATAACTAACATATACCTACACAAACATATACATACTATATATACACTAAATAATATGCATTATTATATATTTATAGATACAGCATATTAGGTAGCTAAGTAGGAAAAAACAATGAAGACTATTTTAAAAAATAAAAATTTACTTAGTGTCGCCGCACAAGGTCCACACGCCACAGCCACAAACGCCCCGCCACGCGAAGCTAGAAGCGGCTACTAAAGTGGCTGAAGCGCGCGACAGCGGTCGACTAAGGCAAGGGAGAGAGGGGTGGGGAATCGTGTGAGTGACGTGTGGCGGCGTTTTGAATCGGCGCATTAAGTGGCCGGTGCGGGCCACAAGAAGCGAGCAACGACGATTTGTAGCGGCCACCGGCGTACCGTGTGTGGCGAGTCCATATAAAATGTATGAAAACTACAAGAAATATGCTGGTGGCGGCGTTTTGTGGTTGTGGTCCGTGTACGGCGACACTTAGCGTGACGGATTCAGGCGGAAGCTTGTTCAAAAGTTGTGCAGCTTTAATAGTAAAGGAGTCCATATAATACTCAGAGCGGGTGAGAGGTATCTCTAACACATTATCGTATTTTGAGCGTAAAACGCAATTGTGGTCCACACCAAGAAATTGAAAACGTTTCTTGAGGTAAGCGTGAGTGCGGGGGTCATACAACACCTTATTAAGTAGTAAAAGGAGATGCTCTTTACGACGTTACCTAAAGGGAAGCCACTATAGCTAGGGTAGGTAGGTACTACATATTAGAATATAAAATATATCATTTTCTTTACTAACCTTATGGTAATATGGTAATTTCTGACTTGGGCCGCCACGGCCATAGTCAGGCTAAAACAAAATATAATAAATTATAAGGTAAGATATATTGGTATAAAATACAGGGTGGTCCAATTAGTGACGTCGACATTTTTTTAGATTCCTCGCACCTGGGGGTATCCGAAAATACCCCATGTAATTACAACAAAAATAGGCTGATTAAGTACATTTTTTTTTCATGGTTTTTGGTAGTTTAGAAACATGCGGAGTTTTTAATTTTAGCCAGAAGCTATGGAAACTCTTTTTTGTATTTTTAAATTGAAGTTGAATGTTTGAGTAAATCATACTATAAACTTACTAGTAAGTTCCAACTTTCAAGCCTTTTTTGAGTAACTTTAAATAATTTCAAGAAGCTGAGTTATTTTTTTTATTAAAAGAACATTCAATACAATTGTCACATAATTATGTCACTAAAAAGACTGCAAAATAGCTACTACGAAAAAAGATACGAATTTTTGAAACCTTGCTGGCAGAAATTTCTATAAAATAAAAGAGTTAAACACATTTGTTGTTTTCCATTTGATAAATCTACGCTCCCAGGGCCCATCCCTTCAGGATAGATCGCCGCAATAGCATAAATCCTTTGCTTTACTTACAAAATATGGCAAGTGCTTCACATACGGCGGCTAAAACAAAATATACGGAAGATAAGATGCAGTAATTAATGCTGTAAGTAAATCGAGTAAGAACATGATGTAAAGTAATGGGTTAAGGTTGTGCAAAGGTAAAAGCAGTATAAGGGTCTGCTATGCCTTAGGGCCTGCACTGCGATCACGCAGCGCCGGACGGCCGCTTCACGTGCCGTTTCATGTCATTTCATAGAGCAGCGCAGCGCTACGACGGGAGACCGCCTCACGCAGCGCCGGACAGGCACTGCAAGCAGCAGTAAAATTTTCATGCGTGGATCCGATGTGGATGATCTATGAAGAAACATGAAACAAACACGCGGTTCACGCCCGCTTGACAGCGCACGCCTTAAGAATCACTGAAACAGAACTGAACAGAAGCATTCGTAAGGTAATGGGTAATTTTGCTCTTCGTATTGGTCTCCAGTATCAGCACAGTATTAGATAATAATCTACTGCCGTCATTTAGTCATTAGAAAAGGCACAAATAACATTTTGTAAATTATAATTTAATTAATTAATTAATACTATAATTATAATTTACTTTTGTAAATTATAATTTAATTTACTAATAATTATCAGTAAATCTACTTGAAAATGTATCCCGGTTGTAGGTGATAAAATATATAATATTTTATTTTTCCCAAAATACGAATAAATATAGTAGTATTTAGATGACTTATACTATAAGAATATTGAATTACAGGATTTTCTTATATCATAATTTAGCAAACATATGATTTTATAGGATCATTCAATGATATTAAAAACCCTGGATGCACTATCACGAACAAAATCATGTCCGAAATCTGTCCACAAGGTATATTGGACGATCCACGAAGTTCCGTAAGATGATCGCGTAGTCTAAACAATATAATGCATTATTTAAACATGAAAATCACCTTTAAATCACATTGTATAAAGTCTTCATTAAAACGCATTCGTCAAAGACTTATGGCAGCCTGAAATGAAAGTTCGTAAAATTTTACGCCTATTGCTATACGCGGAAGAATATAGACCTTATTTCTTTGTCTCTACGCGTAATTCTGAATGCGCTGTTAGCAATAAAGCAGGTACGGACCGCGAGGAAAAGAGTCGGCTATATTACCGACCATGCATTTGAATATCTCAAATATTTTCTATTTAATCAGTTTATAGTAGGTATTAAAACAAAATTTACTTTTAATGCGTTAATTTAACAAACATTGATTAGATAACTGTCGACGTTTCACATACAAAAATATTTTTTTGATGTATTGACTTTTCAACGGTCCGCGCGTGACTATGAACCAAGAAGTGCTTGAGTCGTGTTCAAGCATTTCTTGATTGGGACACATTTTGAGCGCACGTGGTGTATCTAGGGTATTTAATGTCGTTGGGATCACTGGGTAAATAGGCGTATTTTTTGCATAAAATGCAGATTCCGATGAAAATATCGCCGTAAACCGTTTATATATTCATGTAAACTTGCTTTGGTTTTCCATAAAGAAATAATAAAAGAAATTACCAAAGTATACTGAAAAGGAAAGCAGAGTGAAATTTTTATTCTTCACTAAAATTATGCAAACAAGTGCCAAATTCCCCAGGATTTTTTGTGATTTTTAATAAAATGATATCGATATGCCCGTCGGGGGTAGTAACCTCCACCTTACAGAAGAGTGAAATAACACTACCTACCTACTAGCGTAGGGGTTGGCATCAGTAATTCTAGCGCTGAACAAAACACGGAGGGGATAGCTGCGCATGGGTACGACTGGGGAGCCAATCGGCGCAACGCACGCCCGCCCGCACACCTCGTTTCCCCCCAACACATCTTAATTTTTACTTCTGCGCAATAACCAGCCAGCGCTAGTTTCGTGCCGCGACTTATAAACAACGTTGTGATTGACTTCTTCTTTTTTACTATCAGGGGGTTAATCCATTGACTCCTCCACCACGTATCTGTTTGCAAAGCTGTTCTGTCCATCGATGGGGCTAAGGGGCGCCCTCCTCCGAAGCCTCTTGAAACAGTCTTCAATGCTATGAGGCATGATGCCATATCATTAGGGTGTGACGTGAACTATAACGTTTGACTACTTCTTCTATTTCTTGTTTGACATTTGGTACTCCCAAGTCTTAGTGTAATTGATCATTTGTTATGTACCACGGAGCATCAGCAATCATACGCAACGTTTTGGATTGAAACTCCAGACAAAAGTAGTAGAACAGAATGATGGAAAAAATAGAAAAAAATAAGCAATGGTACGAGTGATATTTTTGATATCGCAAGCGTCTATTCTTTAGGCTAAAGTGGCCGCTCACCTTTTAAACCCTTTTTAACATAAACAGTACGATTATGATAAAGTCTCTCTCTACTAAGTGTCGCCGCACACGGGCCACCGACCACAACCACAAAACGCCATCGCCGGTATATTTCTTGTAGTTTTCATACATTTTATATGGACTCGCCACACACGGTGCAAGTCCTGCACCGGCCACTTAATGCGCCGATACAAAACGCCGCCACACGTCACTCGCGCGATTCCCCACCACTCTGTCCCTTGCCTTAGTCGGTCGCGCTTCAGCCACTTTAGTAGCCGCTTCTAGCTTCTCGTGGCGGCGTTTGTGGCTGTGGCGTGTGGCTCGTGTGCGTGACACTAAATGATTTTTCATTCATTCTTTCTTTGTCATAGTGTCCGAGCATATTTAAAGCTACTTATATAGTAGGAAGTGTTCACTTACAAATACTGGTAGCACCTGTAAAATCATAAATTAAAAGTTACATTTTAGTAATGAATATGTACCTAAGTAGTTTAAATATATTTTGATGACATATTATTATTTATTGCTTATATTTTTATTTATACCCACTACCTACTCAAAACACACTAGGGTCTAAATAAATAGGTTTATTTATGTGTTTTAATCATTAATTTAATATTTTTTATTGTAAGTAAGGTAGTTGCGCCTTGTAAGTTTATTAATTTCAATAATGCCAGAGTCTGGGCCTTAGGCATTATTGAAATAAATAAATAGAAAATATACCATTCAAACTACATACATCAAAATATTATTCGATCATTTGTGAATAAAGTCACTACACAAATCACAACATATTTGATAATATTTCTTTAAAAAAACAATTGTTTTATAATGCAAATAGCTTAAGGCAGCCTTTTAAGCGGCCTACTGACATCCCTGCCGCAGGGACAATCTAGGGTGCACGGCAGTCGGGGTGATATCGGCTTGTCTCTCACACATGCCTGCTATTCAGTGGGCGGGGGTATGTTGAGCTAAACACACGCGTTGATGATGGTCCCAGTGTTATCAAAAAATCAGAAGATCGGTAGGTATGGCCTTGGTTTTTTCTATGGTGTTAGCCCAAAATAGGAAATACTGGGTGAAGAATTGGCAGCAGAAATAAATGTATTGCAAAGAAATAATGTTTAAATTACTAGAAAAAATTCCACACGGTCCTGGCAGCAGACGGGACTCGAACCCGCACCCTTCGCTATCCGGGCGAATGCACTGACCAATTATGCTACCGCTACGGCCGTATCGAATACTTTCTAACCTTTCTTAAGCTGCAAGGCAGCGCCATCTCTTTGCATTGTAGGTAACCCACAAAGTATTTAAACATTTGAAAGCAAAAATAGCAATTAATGTCATAATTTTAATTTTTTAAGTGCTAGATAATAATAATTTATTTGCATCATAAATATTTTTTACAATCGTGAGATATATTTGGTTGCTATCTAATTATCACTAAGAGGAGCTCAAGTTGTTGGAACAATAGCTACCTTACTAAGTTGACAAGGCAACTTGTATTAAGGGAGCTCGTATGAATCTTAAGAAAATATTACAAGAAAAAATAAAAAAATGGAAACTGTTTCTATTTTTCCTTTAGCTTTAAACATCGAGCACTTAAAAAAATATATAAGTAATGTTTGGTTTTTTTATCCTACTTCTATCACTCGAAACCAAACTTCATGCTCAGTATGATCTGCCGCCATCTTGATCGAAATACTTGCTCTCCGTGTGTCAGTTACCAACCAACGGATTGAGAAATTGCCCCGATCGCGCTACACACGTTGCAACGTGCAGGGCGGCAGGGACAATTAAGGGACCAAGGGTGGTGTCGAGCTCCTGCCGCCCTGCCGCCCGATTTAGAAAATTGCCCCTACTTGCCTACACACATCACAATTAAGGAGGCAATTAAGGGTTATCCCGCCTCTTATACCCTAGATTGCCTCTGCGGCAGGGATGTCAGTAGTTCGCTTTAGGAACATAGATCAGCCTGTCAACGACATTTAAAACGAAGATATAACATCTTGAATAAAATCGTGCCGATCGGAGGACCTCATGGAGCAAAAATTATGTATGTAATTTATAATATTGTTTTTGCAATGTACAGCAAAACTGAAGTGGGGGCAATGACTTCGCCACCGGCGGGCAGCGACTGGGAATTTTTATTCCTATTTGCCTCCGGTGGAAATCCTCGTGGGGGCGACCGGGAATAAAGGGTTTTTCTTCACCACAGAAGACGAATGGCAGGGAAAAAACATTATGGTCGCTTCAAAAAAGTTGTAAAATGCTTTCAATGTGAAAAGACAATTTTTGACTTTGAATATATTTTTTCAAAATTGTGAAGTGTTTATATCTTTTCGATTTTCTCTTACATCGGTTACGATTTGATCTTGTAAGCTATTTTTTACTAAGAATCTTAAGTATTCTTTCTGTGATCACTGTTTTAGGAAACTGTACTTACTTCTGTTTCCTGAGCAAAAAAAACCCAATTATTAAATTTATTGGGGAAAAAGATAATGAACACTTCCCTATTCCACCCTAATCTATACTAATATAACAAATTAAGTTTTATTAATGAAAGCACCATGTCTATGTTTTTCTTTTATGCTACCACATGTGAAACACTGATAAAAATTTTACGGGTTTTGGTACAAAAAACAGGGGACCCCGGAGAGAGCTCTACAAATGATTAAATCTAAAGAAATTTTTATTAGACAATATAGGTACCACGCGGACCTTGGTAGCAGACGGGACTTCGAACTCTCCAAATACAACTATTCTTCTTTCTAGGTTTTTTTTCAGGTAGACTGGAGTGGCAGGTAGAACTGCTGTACCAGCTATCTTCACGTATGGATTTCACCGTCACTTAACATCAGGTGGGGTGGAGTAATTTGTCGGACCTATCTATAAAAAAAATGGTGTCGATTCTGGCATTATAGACCTAAACTTAATATTGACAATCCTTGTCATTTCCTAGTTGAGAGAATCATGCCATAATCGACGCCATTAATGAATATTCTTTAATGAATGAATGAATATTCTTTATTGCATTATTTAACAAAATATATAAAACATAAAACTCAGGAACACAAACACAGAATGCGGCCTTATTGCTAATGTAGCAATCTATACCAGGCAACCTTTGGCTAAATGAAACCATACCATGGAAATAGAAGACACTGCGGGCTAGTTCATTTAAAAAAAAAATGGATGCGTGTAATTTATGTACGCGCGTGAGAAGTTATACTTCTTTAGCGTCATTAAAAACATTTTTTAATTGCATGCAAATTATTACAATAAAATAATAAAAGGACTGGAAAAGGATAGTTAACACAGTCAATTAAGTTCAGTTTTAATTTGAAAAATTAAATAAATATTCAATTAAAATCACTACTGAATTTAAGTTATTAGTCCATATGTAATTAGCACTTGTAAGTAACTAAAACACGTAGAAACATGTGGATAAATATTATAAATATGAAAACAGTGATCAGAGGCGACGAGCGTGCCAACATTGTTTTTGACAACGCGATCATCTTATGGAGCTCCGTGGATCGTTCAAAGTACCTTTCGAACAGATGTCTAATAATGGTGGATTATCAACCACTAAGTGGTTAATAATCCACCATTATTAGACACTAACATTCATAAAGCGCCCGCGGCCAACTTCATGGTGTTACTATTGTGTTACGCGCGCATCTTAAAATTTCACTCTTATAAATTTTTCATAACGCGGCTAAAGAAGTATAACTTCAATAAATAAATAAAAGATAAGATGAGGAGCTCGATAGCGCAAGTGGTTAGCGCGTTCGGCTGTGATCGTTGAAGTTCAGCAACTTTCGCAGTGGTCGGTCATTGGATGGGTGACCAAAAATTTACTATCTCGAGTTCCTCCGTGCTTCGGAAGGCACGTTAAGCCGTTGGTCCCGGCTGCATATGCAGTCATTAGCACCCGCCAATCCGCACTGGGCCCGCGTGGTGGGTCATGGCCCAATCTCCCTATTCCATCCATAGGGAAGGCCTGTGCCCCAGCAGTGGGGACATTAATAGGCTGATGATGATGATGAAATAAAAGATATTGATATTGCTAGATACTTTTAGTCACGAAAGTAAAAAGATTTTTTACTAGCAAATATCAAAATTAGAAAACATTTCGGCCAAGCTGTCAGGTCGAACCCGAAACGGCATCTTCTGAAATTCAGACACTAATCGATAATTATGTTACTGATACCATAAGGTTCTCATCGAATTTAGATAATCTTACCGTCTTTGAATCGATGAAGTCTTGATCAATTTGCTGTAAAAGATAAAATCGTCACTTGTTATATGAATTACCGTAACCGCCAAAAGCAAATTATTCAGTTTTTATTTGCTTATACATAGTTATAAGTATACTAGCTGACCCAGCGAACTTCGTACCGCCATAAAAAAATAGGGGTCGATGGTAGAAACGTGAAAATTTAGGGTTGTAAGTATTTACTAATGCTGTATCATAAAAAAAAATCTAAAACTGAAAAAGAAATTAGAGGTGGATTACCCTTAACATTTAGGGGGATGAAAATTAATGCATATAAAATTTCACGAAAATCGGTCGAGCCGTTTCGGAGGAGTTTAACCACAAACACTGCGACACGAGAATTTTATATATTAGATTATAGCTATTAACGGGATTGTTACTATGCACCTTGTTTTTTATGAGTCCCAGATATTTCGGCACTGTTGCAAGCGCCGTGATCAATCGCTCATATCGGGGACTCTTAAAAAACAAGGTACATGGTAACAATCCCGTTAATAGCTATAATGTTAGTGACCATGAAAGTTTAAAACAATATATAAGTATATTGTAAAGTATTGCGTCCGCAGCTCTTCCTGACGAGCGTGAAGGTTAGAGGGTAACTCGGCGAAGGCTGAAACGCTACTAGCATCACGAGCGTCACACGCGACAATATTATATCTATACTAGCTGACCCAGCAAACTTCGTACCGCCATACAAATAGGGACTGGTGGTAGAAGGGTGAGAATTTAGGGTTGTATGTCTTTTTTAATGCCACATAATAAAAAAATAAATATTGTCAAAATGATATTTTAGGGGTGTGTAACGTAGTGTTGTATCAATTTCCTGGGATAACATTCCTCCTAACCCATATGAGAACACTTCGTTTCAATACCCAATAGTTTCAATTTTGGCGCGAAGGCGCATTGTAGGTTTCAGAAAGCTACGTTACAGGTGGACAACCATTATCACTACCATTATCACTTAAGGATATGAAAAATAGATAGTAACCGATTCTCAGGCCCACGGAATATGCATATAAAATTTCATAAAAATCGGTCAAGCCCTTTCGGAGGAGTATGGTAACTAACATTGTGACACGAGAATTTTATATATAAGACTAGCTGACCCAGCGCACTTCGTACCGCCATAAAAAATGGGGGTTGATGGGAGAAGGGTGAAAATTGAGGGTTGTATGTATTTTTGTATGATGTATCATAAAAAATAAATAAAAAAAAATATCTAAAATTGAAAAAAAATAAAATTTAAGGGTGGATTACCCTTAACATTTACGGGGATGAAAAATAGATGTTATCCGATTCTCAGACCTACCCAATATGCACACAAAATTTCATGAGAATCGGGAAAGCCGTTTCAGAGCAGTTTAACCACAAACACCGCGACACAAGAATTTTATATATTAGATATATATATATATGAGTGATGCGAGCGCTGCTCCATTCCCCTGTACCTTATGCACCGCCTAATGTTAGGTTATTAAAGAAAAGAAGTTTCTTCAGATATGTGTTCCGTGCACACATTTTTTTTTGTGATAATAACTTTGTCATAAGTCAAAACTACTAAAACAGCATAGCCATGTCACTTCTCCAGTGTTTCTCTCAAAGATAAGAATTTTAGATAACTCTATCTGCGAATGCGGTCTTGAAGAAGGCACCACAGATCACATTTTCTTTAACTGTCAGAAACACCCGTCTCCATATCCTCTACTTCCACCCAAAACTCAGCGTTCCGTTAACCTTAACACTATTTTAACAGTTTCTGACAAGCCTGGCTTTTATTGTTTATGTAAATATATTAAAAAAATGGTTGCCTGTAAAGTCGGTTTTACGGGCGAAGATTTTACGTGACAACGTCTTTTTCTCGGTAGAATATTTATTGATATGAATATAATTAAATTGCACAATAGGAACAAGGAATTGAATGAAAATAAGAATTGCACAAATTTTAACTATAGAAATATATTTTGTTTACTAAAACATTGTACATGTAAACTTAAACTTAACACGAGAGACTCATCGTAACGTTACCGAGCGTTACACTTTTTCATAAGTGACTCCCAGCCGCAACCTAATTTAAGACGTTGTCACGTCAAAATATAATATAAAACTATAACGTTATTATTCCCCCTAAATATTACTTAACTTTTTTTTTCTCTACCGATTAAATTAGCTACACTTTATATATTATTTTAAACCTGTGTTGTCTTTGCGTGTGTTATGCTTTCAGAAGAACATGAAGAACAAAAAGCTCAAGAAGAAGGGTTATTCGGATAAAATATAAAAATTTTATTTGTATAAATACCGAGCAATCTCTCTCATATCGTGTCTCTCTCACTACGGGATAATGGCGAAATTTCTGTGTCAAAAATAAAACAGCCACAGAACAAAAAAAAAAATACCATTGGAACACGTCTATCACTTTCACACACACACACACACATCACCAGCCTATTGCTTTTCCCACTGCCACACAGGCCTTCCTTATAGATGGAATAGGAAGAGTGGGCCATGACCTACCACGCGGGCCTTATTGGTAGGTGCTAACGACTGCAAATGCAGCCGGGACCAACGGCTTAAACGTGCCTTCCGAAGCACGGAGGAGCTCGAGATAGTAAATTTTTGGTCACCCATCCAATGACCGACCACTGCGAAAGTTGCTTAACTTCAACGATCGCAGCCGAACGCGCTAACCACTTGCGCCATCGAGCTCCTACTCTTATCATTTAAACTTTGAAGGATTGAAAGCCTGGCCTTGTTCAACAACACAGAATTGCCTAGCTGTAAATTTCCAAAGCGAGTGCTTTAATTCTAAATCTATATACGAGTATACTCGTATATAAAACTCAAAGGTGACTGACTGACTGAAATAGAGATCTATCAACGCACAGCCCCCAACGCAACCACTGGACGGATCGGGCTGAAATTTGGCATGCAGGTAGATGTTATGACGTAGGCATCCGCTAAGAAAGAATTTTGATCAATGAGGTCTACCCCCAAGGGGATAAAATAGGGAATGAAAGTTTGTATGAAACTTTGTCAATTTTAAACCGATCGGGCTGAGACTTTGCATGCGGGTATAAGAAGAATCATAGATAAATGTCATTGTGTACGAGTATAATACAAGCCTGAGAACAAAAACTGTAGTCTACAGTTCAGCTCTACACCGAAGCGAAGCGACGGCGGGCCGCTAGTAGGAACATAAAAACTAAATACTTACTGTTGAGGCTGAGACTTTGCATGCAGGTATAAGAAGAATCATAGATGAATGTCATTGTGTACGAGTATAATACAAGCCTGAGAACAAAAACTGTAGTCTACACTTCAGCTCTACACCGAAGCGAAGTGACGGCGGGCCGCTTGTAGGAACATAAAAACTAAATACTTACTGTTGAGGCTGAGACTTTGCATGCAGGTATAAGAAGAATCATAGATGAATGTCATTGTGTACGAGTATAATACAAGCCTGAGAACAAAAACTGTAGTCTACACTTCAGCTCTACACCGAAGCGAAGCGACGCCGGGCCGCTAGTAGGAACATAAAAACTAAATACTTACTGTTGAGGCTGAGACTTTGCATGCAGGTATAAGAAGAATCATAGATGAATGTCATTGTGTACGAGTATAATACAAGCCTGAGAACAAAAACTGTAGTCTACACTTCAGCTCTACACCGAAGCGAAGCGACGGCGGGCCGCTAGTAGGAACATAAAAACTAAATACTTACTGTTACTGTTACATCGTGTGATAACTGAAACAAGGAAAAAAAGCATTTTCAATTATCGCGGAAAAAGAGATTTTATAAAATAAGTTTCAACGGTATAGATGCACTGATTTATTTGTTTATTGGCGTTTCGCAACCTTTTCAGGCTGCGTCGTCAGAATTATGCAAGCTGAAAATGATGTGAAGAGTTTCAAGATGTTTCACTCGAAAGAGACTACTTTATTGCGCTCTATTGGCGGGTGTTGCCTAGGGAAGTTGGGGCGGGGATTACTAGGGGTGATGACGGGGTACAGTAAACGAAATTCTATTTAGTCCGTCAGTTAGATGATCAAAACATAATGGACATGTATTTTTTCTTTGGGCAATCAACCAAAAAATGACAAAGTTATAGCGCGTCAAGTTTGGGAGTAGGGGCTCGTGACGTCACTTCTTAGTGAATTTTCACTTAAAATTGTACCAAAATGTGAAGTCTCGCGACTTTTCAAATCAATATATCTCTGCAATGTTTATAGTATGTGAAAAAAGAAAAAATACGTGTCCAATACTTTTTGATAATCTACCTGATAAACGAAGAAAAAACATTGGTCATCATCCCTATTGTGCCATTTAAAAAATCATTAATGTTTGCTTATAACCTGTATATATATCATATTATATCATAGATGACCTCCGTGGCCGAGTGGTTTAGACGCCGAGTTTCATGGTGTCGCCGACTCGAGAGGTCCCGGGTTCGAATCCCGGTGGGGGCAGATGTTTGTGTGATGAATACGAGCATTTGTACTCCAGTCATAGATGTTTAATATGTATTTCTTTATAAATATACTTATATATGTACAATATATGTATTCTATCCGTTACCCTAGTACCCCATAACACAAGCCTTACAGTGCTTACTTTAGCTAATTGGTGTGAATGTTGAAACTATTTATTTATTTATTATTATTATATCATTATACAATATGTATGAAATCATCAAAGCTTTCCCTTAAAAGTACTATTTTTATGGTATTCAAAAATGTTTATTAAACAGAGAAATTTTTCAAAATAAAATTTTAGTTAATTACGTTAAAATATGTTTGACTTACTTTACTCTGAGAAGATGGAAAATGAGAAAATCGTATTAGAATTACTATTTAAAAATTTAAAAATAATAACAAGCATAATAGAAGATTTTTTGCTCGAATTCAAGCTCCCATTTGGGGAAGTAATCACCACCTTACAGAAAGTCACAGTAAAATAGGTCTCACTATTGTTGGTGTTGTGTTCTGTCGGTGAGTAGGGTTCTTAGGCTCTGGGGTAGGGGATTGGGTTAGGGGTAGGATTGACACCTTTTTATGTCGAAATAAAGTACATTTGGATATTTAAGGTAGAAAAAAGTACACTGTGTCTAAAATAAAGTACTTTTTATTCCACTTTATTAATATTAATAATTATATTAATAATAAGCTTAAAAATATATTTTACGTTGCTACTTAAATAATTAGCAACTTCTACTAAATAATTTGTGCCTACTAAAAATCTGTAGTTCTTTTCAGCAATGGGAAAGGTCATGGTACAAAGCTGTACACAGCCACGAAAATGTTGCAATGTTGAATTAGTTAAGGGCGTCATATTCATACTGTCTGTCTGTTTTACGCAAAAAATATTCATATCAACCTCTTTTTGTATATTTTATGTAAAATTAATCCCCGAGTAATCAAATCACATTAAGTAAAGTATTTTCTTGTACTTTATTGTTAGCATAAAGTATAGAGTATAATTACCGGAAATGACGTACAATACTTTATAATAAAGCACGGATGGCGACCCTAGTTAGGGTTCATGGTAGGCAATGGCGCGTATGGAAATGATACCTTCGGTATTGAAAGCTACTAAAGTCGTCTACGCACTATCTAGGTATCTCACAGATTATTAGACCATGGATTGAATTTCCATCCATAGCCTGGTTAAGGGTAAAAGGGATGGAAAACAAGCATGTGCCCACCTAATGCTAAGCGGCTACCATAATTTTGAAGTTCTTTACGCACTATCTGGATTCAGCGTCCTGGACAGCGTTATACACATAAAACAATATCCGCCTCTGTTCATACCATCAAATCGATCCTTATACTATAACCGAGCTCATGCAAAAGAAATCATGCTTAAATTCATTTATAGATCTATGTAAAACCATTGTAAAACACACTGAAAGAATATAATAACAGCTGATAACTCACACTATAAACTCCATTCCTAAAACTACAGTCTATCTAAATTTACATATCTCTAAGCTAAAATGATCAAATATTACAAAAAAAAACAATACAATACTAACTTACCCCAATGTATATAAATCTATATATATAAAACTCAAAGGTGACTGACTGACTGACATAGTGATCTATCAACGCACAGCCCAAACCAGTGGACGGATCGGGCTGAAATTTGGCATGCAGGTAGATGTTATGACGTAGGCATCCGCTAAGAAAGGATTTTGATCAATTCTATCCCGAAGCGAAGCGAGGGCGGGCCACTAGTTACATAATAAAATGTAACTTATAAGAGTCTCCTATGTTTTTCGTATCAAATAGCTAAAATACTAAACCATCTAAATAATCTTATTCAAATAAATGTTCTTTGGTAATTCTCCGGAGAATAACCATCGAACCACCGTACCCAAAAAAAAAGAAATAATCATAAAAGAGGTTCTGTATCTTTATCTCTTTTACGTGTAAAACGCTGTCCCTCATGCTGGTAAAGTGTTAATAAAATAGAATAGTTATGGCATTAATATGGCTGCGATGATTGTGCTTCTAAAAAGATTTTTTACTTACTATTGGTGTCTGTGGAAGTAAATGAAATGTTTCATATTCAATATGGCAGTAAATTGAGAATTTTGATTGAAAATTATAAGTTAAGGCAAGTAGTAAAAAAATATACATAAATCGAAGTTACAACTGCTAGATGTTTTAATTAATATAATAAGTTGGAGGAGCTAGATGGCGCGGGTGGTGGCGGTTGAAATTAAGCAACTTTCGCAGTGGTCGGTCATTGGATGGGTGACCAAAAATCTTCTATCTTGAGTTCCTCCTTGTTTCGGAAGGCACGTTAAGCCGTTGGTCCCGGCTGCATCTGCAGTCGTTAGCTCCCGCCAATCCGCACTGGGCCTGCGTGGTCATGGCCCAATCTCCCTATTCCATACATATGGAAGGCCTGTGCTCCAGCAGTGGGGACATTAATAGGCTGATGATGCCGATAGTTTTTAAGAGAATTTTGCAAATAGCCAACATTAATTTATGTCAATTAATTTTATTTATCAGATACTCACTATTGGAATATAACCACACTGAAATTTTTAAAATATAGTTATTATTATGATATGATATATTAATATAAGTTTTTTTATTTCATTTTGATGTATGTGTTTCAGTAATATGCTGCATAGAATGTAATTCGACTAAAACTAAATTCGTGTTAATATCTATACATAAACTCAAAGGTGACTAATTGACTGACATAGTGATCTATCAACGCACAGCCCAAACCAATGGACGGTTCGGGCTGAAATTTGGCATGCAGGTAGATGGTTATGACGTAGGCATCCGCTAAGAAAGGATTTTGATCAATTCTACCCCGAAGCGAAGCGAGGGCGGGCCACTAGTATTTATATATATACGCTATGCGTGTATTAGAAGGGGAGCCCAAGCAGGGATTTTTGGATTAACTCGGAGAAGAGTAAACATGAGGGAGGCAACCTTGCACCTTGTGAACTACTCCCACCCAACCTGAGCCCTTTAAATAAGGTCGTACGTCTAGAGCAGCAACAAAAAAAATAAACAATCGGCCATAACATTTGGTCGCGTCCAAATCGTCCGTTTTCTGCACAGGAGTTACAGGAGGGTTCGGGTAACATCGGCCAAATTACAGTGTTGCCATCAAGTTTGAAAGATTTGCCGTATTCGATACATCAGATTGCCGTATTTTTAAAGAAAAATCATGATTTTGCCGTATTACCTAATTTCGTTTATTAAAATTTATAGGTAGTTAGTATTATTATACGGCAATGACAAACCTTTCGTATGCCGTATAATCTGAAATTATGAGCTCAAATTGCCGATTATTACAGTAATTGCCGTATCAATGGCAACGCTGGCCAAACAACAAAAAATATACTCTCTTTCTTCTTCGTTCTTTGAAAGGAGTGTTAAACCATTGATATCTGCAGTCGTGAACTCGTGGGCACCCACCAATCGCAACTGGGCCCGCGTGGTTTGTTGCTACCCTTTCTCGTATACCGTCCATGGGGAAGTCCTGTGCCCCAGCAGTGGTGATGAGCTTATGATGACGATGATAGAATTTAAGTTTACTTACACAATACATTTTCGCCTGAAAAAAAATTATGATATTTTTTTTGTTTTTACACAAACTATGAAACCATCATGCAATGGAAACTCTTGCCTCCTTATTAATAAACGAGGAATAAGCTTGGACTAGTTACGCCATGTTTTTTTTTTATATATAGAGGTAGGTAAATGACTCTACCCCTACTACTCTATGTTTAGTGGTAATAAAGTCCAAACGCGAAGATAGCTGGTACAGCAGTTATAAACTGCTACACCAATCATCCTCACCTTGCCGGCCTGCAAAAATGTTTCTTCACGCTTCTCTTAAAGGATCCTAGATTATAGGAAGGAGGGAACACTTGCGCGGGTAAAGAATTCCATTTACGAATAGTACGACAAAGAAATGAGTCACCAAATTTCTTTGTTCGTGTAGGAATAGTGGCCACAGTAAGTCGGTGGCAACGTTTTATTTATATCACTCAAATGCCGTTTGTCATTCAATGAATAGAGACAAAACAGGGACTAACTAGTCCAAACTTATTATAGGTATTTAAGTGTTTTAAATTTTTTTCGGTACACAGGCAATTAACTAAATATTTTCCGGATTTCCGGAAAGGAAATCTTATTCCGGTTAATATAGAAAGTGAAAAAAAAATATCCTGAGCACAGCCGGGAATCGAGCCCGGGTCGCCCGCGTGGCAGGCGAGCTATCTACTACTGAACCACCGATGCGTGTTGACTGGGTCTGAATTTTTTAATCACAATTAAAATTTTGTGACAGTTAATTAAAGTCTCACTTTTAAAAAATACCAAATAACTTTCTACTACTTTTATTTTAACGTTTATTAATAAATTACTGTAGACCAATGTTATTACATGATACATGAAACGTTTATTTAAACTTCGCATAATATCTTTCCTCTCTAAAATAAAGTTGAAATAAAAGACAACTGCCAAATCAAATAATTTAGAAAACATAAAACTATCACCCCATTAATAATAAAGAAGACTACGCTTGGATTAGTTACTAAATGTTTTGTCTCTGTCTATTGAATTACAAATGGCATTTGAGTGATAAGAACAAAACACGGCGTAACTAGTCTAAGCTTATTCCTGGTTTATTTATAAGGAGGCCGAAGTTAAAAGTGACTAAGGCTCGTATTACAGAATGACAACGAAGTGTTGATATTTACTTGAGTACAGTTAGAAAGGGATACCGCTATGTGCTATATATAGTGACATTACTATCTAACTATGCTCAAGACTAGATCAATCACTGAGAATCTTTCTATAACACAGGCCTAAGTGATCTTGAATTCTTGACAGGCAGCGTCACGTCCAAGTTCTTCTAAGATGAATTCATCAAGAGTGTAAATTTTATTATTATAGTTTTTCATCTTACATAACCACAGAATTTAAGAAAAAACAAGCATATGGCTCGTCTGATTATAAGCGGCTACCTTAGTGTAGACGCTCGAGATACATCATCCTTGACCCCCTCCCCTACCCCGTGGAGCCCTGGAACCTTACTCACTGACAGAAACACAACACCGCCAAAAGGTAGTATTATTTTTTTCCTGTGATCTTCTGTAAGGTGGAGATTACTTCCCCAGACGGGCACTCCGATTTGAGCGAAAGGTCCGCTATGTACTCCCTCTCTTGTCATGTGAAAAAACAAAACAAAAACACACAGAGTAATTTTTATTATTTACCGGTTTGTTGGTCAAAAATTGGCGCGATGATATTTCATGCTAAAAATAAGAATTATTACATTTTTTTTAATTAAAAAGTACTAAATACTCAACTAAAAAATATTTCGTACAACATTTAAATATGACCATGGAAAATACATCATTTAAGTCACCGTGTCATATCAATCGTTGAGCTCGATGGCACAAGTGCCATCGTTCGATTGTTATACGATTGTTATGATACGACGATTGTTATGACAAGACGATTGTTATGACACGACGATTGTTATGACACGACGATTGTTAACGCGTTCGGCTGCGATCTTTGAAGTTAAGTAACTTTCACAGTTCATTTGGTTGTTAACCAATAAATTTACTATCTCGAGCTCCATAGCTATTATTATTATAGATATTTCGTCACTGTTCCAAGTGCAATGATTACGGAGTAACTGAAATAATTGCGGGTAGATTTGGCAGACATTAGTCTACCCTCTCTCTGACTTAGTCTTTTATTGCGCTCACCGACCCTACCAGTGGTCACGTTCTCACTATTCACTCGCCAATTTCGTTAAAAGCTATAATGTTAGTGATTATGAAAGTTTAAAATAATAATAATAATAAAATAATCATTTAAATATATCTCGAGCTTCTCCGTGCTTCGGGAGGCACGTTAAGCCGTTGGTCCCGGCTGAATCTGCAGTTGTTGACACCAACCGTCCAAACTGGGCCCTTGTGGTGGGTCAAGTCATGGCCCAATCTCCCATTCCATCCATAGAGATCCCCTGTACTCCAGCAGTGGGGATATTGATAGGCTGATGATGACGTTGATGAAGATATAAGCTGAGGCAGGGTCCTGATTGGCCATTTTAGTTTTAGTGAATAATTTTTGTTCGTTAAGTACTTTTTTATCAGTTTCTTATAGTAGGTTTTAATATTGTATATAAGGTGGCCAATAAATGTTTTTCATTTCATATCAGTCAATCGTTGGTTACTTTATGTACACCCGGTTTCAGAAATGTTTGTTAAATCATTATTCAACTAACATGCCTGTCAATTGAGCAGAAGTATTTTAGTTTTATAACCAATTTGAATCACCGAAACGAACATTAGCAAATAATTCTAGACACCAAAAATGACGGTTGCCGTATCAATTTTTAAAACCAAATTTGACAGCCCTGTCAACTGATACAGTGATTTGTTGATCAAGCTTTCAGGCTTTCAGCAACTCAATTGACAATTAACATGAGAGCCCACTTGCAGGAATTTTGCTAAATTTCAATTTAAGTAAAACTAGATTCATCTCATAAAATGATGTCATGAGGCGAGAATAACACTACACCGTGAAAATTGTGCTCAATATCAACACAAAACAAAGAACTAGGGGCAGACCACCAGCCTCTTGGTGGTCCACCGTGGAAAGAGATTTAAAATCCCAAAAACTATCACCGATGACAACCCGGTACAGAATAGCCTGGCGCAAATGCACAAGAAGGCCCGACCCCAAATAAAAATGGGGTAAGGGCAGGAAGAAGAAGATATTATACAATGATGTCAAACTGACAGTGGAATTTTGATTTTTTCTATGGATTACACATGGGATTACATCTAGTTTTAGTTGGATCGGGATTTAGCAAAAGACACGGTTTAAATTTATATGGAGGGTGGTAATCAGTTCAGAAACCGGCTGTATATAAGTCGCGACACGAAACTCTATCACTGACAGTTATTGCGCAGAAGTAAAAATTAAGATGTCTTGGGGGGAAACGAGGTGCGCGGGTGGGCGTGCGTTGCGCTGATTGGCTCTCCAGTCGTACCCATACGCAGCTATCCCCCCCCGCGTTTTGTTCAGCGCTAGAATTATATGCCACGACTTGTACTAGAAGTTATTCTGCTTATATGTACATTGTTAATTTGCACTAAGCATTAATAAATCTATATTTATTATTTCCAACGTTAGTCGCTTCATAAAATCTATCTCATTTTGACATTGTAGTTGTCTACAATGTGCCTTGCAATCTAAGTCGAACAAGAAAAACCCTTTTGATATTTAAGTCATAAAGAAATCTATATTTTACTCACATTCTTAATCAATGCCTGAAATAATATCATTTTTAAGTAATTGTTAAGAAATAGTGAATTAGTTGTTTAATGTCAGCTTACAATTTGTCGACAATGTATGAAATAAAAGATTAGGATATATACCATTTGAAAATGAATTAGGTATTTTTTTTGTACACCAAAAACTTATTGCTAAGTAACAAATGTATTTATCTGTATGTATTTATATTCTGCCGTCCCAGGCTCAGGCCCTAGAGTCAATATTGTCCTGGATTTGAGTATAATCATTTACACATCTTAAAATAAAACTTAAGATACTTAAGAAAAGTTTACTAGAAAAAAATCCACGCGGACCAGGCAGCGGACGGGACTCGAACCCGCACCCTTCGCAATCCGGTCGAATGCACTGACCATTATGCTACCGCGGACTTATTGGCCGCGTCGAAATTTTCCTAGCCTTAAGCTGCAAGGCAGCGCCATCTCTTCGCATTGTAGGTAACCCACAATGTCAAATGAATACTTTTTCAAATATTAAACATTTGAAAGAAGAAATAGCAATTATAGTTATGTTTTTATTTATTTTTCAGCATTTAACTGCTAGATGTTTAAATCTAAAGAAAAGTTTACAAGAAAAAAATCCACACGGACCAGGCAGCGGACGGGACTCGAACCCGCACCCTTCACAATCCGGGCGAATGCACTGACCATTATGGTACCACGGCTCTATTGGCCGCGTCGAAATTTTCCTAGCCTTAAGCTGCAAGGCAGCGCCATCTCTTCGCATTGTAGGTAACCCACAATGTCAAATAATAATAATAATAATAATTGAAAGAAGAAATAGCAATTACAGTTATGTTTTTATTTATTTTTTAGGTAACCCAATGGTAATGCGAAGAGATGGCGCTGCCTTGCAGCTTAAGGCTAGGAAAATTTCGACGCGGCCAATAGGGCCGTGGTAGCATAATGGTCAGTGCATTCGCCCGGATTGCGAAGGGTGCGGGTTCGAGTCCCGTCCGCTGCCTGGTCCGCGTGGATCGTTTTCTAGTAAACTTTTCTTTAGATTTAAACATCTAGCAGTTAAATGCTGAAAAATAAATAAAAACATAACTATAATTGCTATTTCTTCTTTCAAATGTTTAATACTTGAAAAAGTATTCATTTGACATTGTGGGTTACCTACAATGCGAAGAGATGGCGCTGCCTTGCAGCTTAAGGCTAGGAAAATTTCGACGCGGCCAATAGGGCCGTGGTAGCATAATGGTCAGTGCATTCGCCCGGATTGCGAAGGGTGCGGGTTCGAGTCCCGTCCGCTGCCTGGCCCGCGTGGATTTTTTTCTAGTAAACTTTTCTTTAGATTTAAACATCTAGCAGTTAAATGCTGAAAAATAAATAAAAACATAACTATAATTGCTATTTCTTCTTTCAAATGTTTAATACTTGAAAAAGTATTCATTTGACATTGTGGGTTACCTACAATGCGAAGAGATGGCGCTGCCTTGCAGCTTAAGGCTAGGAAAATTTCGACGCGGCCAATAGGGCCGCGGTAGCATAATGGTCAGTGCATTCGCCCGGATTGCGAAGGGTGCGGGTTCGAGTCCCGTCCGCTGCCTGGTTCGCGTGGATTTTTTTCTAGTAAACTTTTCTTTAGATTTAAACATCTAGCAGTTAAATGCTGAAAATTAAATAAAAACATAACTTAAGATACTTACTCCAACTTTTTCCAGGACATCCTTCTGTTCTGCGGACGCCTAGAAACAAAAAAACAAAATCAGTGTTCGATATCAGCCCATAATCAAAACTTCAAATTCTGAATGCACTACCGAAAAAATCATTTTGTCTCTGCACCAAAATTTTAATATAACAAACAGCCTTGGTTATATTATTGAGAGAGATTTAAAACGTAATTCACAGAGTACCTATTTTATTTCGACTTTACATAATAATAATGGGATACATAGTAGCCATAAAATTCATAATTATAATTAATACAATATATTTTAATCGAACTTACATATATAGGACTCAACTAAAAAATAATGAAAAATATTTTATTATCATACAATATAAGGAATTGAAACTAAAAAGTTAGTGCTCCATAATATTAGCCATTTAGGCGAGGGAGAGTAACAAACGAGCAAAAAATAATTGCAAGCACGCGTCCACTCTCATTCGCAACTCCAGTACTATGAAGCGCAATGTTGCCCAGTGTTACCAACCCTTACCAAAATTTTACCTTAAGTATTTTTTAAATTCCCCTTAATTTCGTTGCTCATAAACTCAAACGTTACTTATTTAGTTACAGTAAATTATTTTATTGAATAAATACATTTTCCGAAAGGAAAATCAAACGAAAATGAGCTGACAGGCTGTTAAATCTTATTTAGCTGTTTTGATTGGTGGAAGGCAAAGAACTTTAGTCCATACAATCTTAGGAAACAACCTGCCACACAGTCAGTTCAGTCATTTTATATCGTGGTGCATTCCATTCTACGCACAAAACTGAAAGAAAACACACGCTCTGTTTTTTTATTTAATTGCAAGTTCCACTTATTGAGGATCTCGAAGGCGCAGGTGGTTAGCGCATTCGGTTTGCGATCGTGAATGTTAAGCAACTATTGCAATTTTAGGTCATTGGATGGGTGAACAAAAACTTTTTATCTTGAGCTCCTACGTACATTGGAAGGCACGTTGAGCCATTGGTCCCGGCTGCATCTGCAGTCGTTAGCTATGAGTAAGCAATGTTAGTAGTAGTTACACACCAATGCCGCACTGGGCCCCCATTCCATCAATAGCGAAATCCTATGCCCCTGCAGTGGATACATTAAAAGTTTGGTACCGAATTAATAGTACCTACTCACCGCTTTTACATTCTAAAAGAAAAAAAATATTGTAAAATAATACGAAAACAAAACCCCCAAAAATCAGCCTCAGATTCTTATACAGGTGTAAAAAAACCTATGACAAAGACTAAAAATACGCATTCTGTAATACGTGGGAAACATTTGTATTTTTAAATTAAAAAAGTCCATTTTTTTTAGTACTCAATGCATAGGCGCGCTACTGTGGCGCTACGCAAACAATGTGCCTGTGTGTATGTGTGTGTGTGTGTAAGTCCGTCAATAAAAAAGTTTCTAAATAACGTTTTTGTAAAAATCTGGAAAAAAATATTGTGACTGACCTTCAATATCTCCATAACCATAAATTTCCCAGGTATGGTCCAGAAGAAAAAAATGATTTTCATGATGTGGAAAATACGTGGCCTTCGACTTCGTTAAAGGTTTTTTTACACCCTGTATATGACTGCTGCTAACTATTCAAAAGTAATTGTGTAAAATTAGTGATTCTGTACCAGAAGTTAGTCCTGTGCCACTGCAGTGGGGGTATTAATAAGCTGACGATGAAGATCTTAAACATCAAAAATAACATGCGTGCGTAACAGATCATAATTAGAGTCATATTTGTTTCTTAGGTTTTCACGTAAACCACTCATTAAAAAAAAAGGATTTGTGCGGGTTTTGGCATTTGCCATTGGCAAAGCTAAGGAACTTGGGTCTTATACTGAAAGGCTAAGATATTTTGGAATGTTGTCCTTGACAGACAGGCGGGAATTAATGGATATTATATTTCTTTCTAAATTGGTAAAAAACACAAACTGACTCTTCGCAGCTACTAGCACTCTTCAAACTCCGAGCACCATCTTAAATACCGCGCAAACCAATTACATCACTTTGTCCACCCTTGAGAAGAACTGTACTTGGTTTCAACTCCGTCATTGCGAGATTATCCTATACTCTAAACAAACATTGTCGACATACATCATGACTCTGTGATCTCATTGCGAAACAAATTGTATGGTCACATATTTCCTCCGAATTCATAAAAAAGTATACATAAATATTTTGAAACATATTTAAAGAAACACACATACACACTTAATTTTAATTAAATAATATCTGCTTAAGCTTAATGTAGTGAATGCTGAGTTCGCCTATAAGTGGTTACACATTATATCACTAAATGTAAATTTGTATTAAATAAGATGTATTGATGTAGTAACTGTTGGTGATCCAATAAAGAGAGAGAGAAAAAAAACTGGTTTCAACGGAATAAATGCACTGATTTATTTATTTATTGACTTTTCGCATCCTTTTCAGGCTGCGTCCTCAGAATAATTAAACTTGTTTTATTAAAGTCATGGTTAAAAATGTCAGTATATTTATAAGTAAGCTCACCTTAGGATTATTTATGACCACTAAGTCAGATTCAGATTCCTGAAATTTAATATTAAGTCAACATGGTTTCAAAAATAAATTTTACAAAATAAAATAGGCCAAAGTTTCTTTGCACTTTTATAATTCTCATCGAATGAACTACAGTGCAGCCGTATTTGGAACCTCCGTGACCGAGTGGCTTACACGCTGGGTTTCATGGTGTCGCCGACTCGAGAGGTCCCGGGTTCGTATCCCGGTGGGGACAGATGTTCGTGTGATGAAAACGAGCATTTGTACTCCAGTCATGGATGTTTTATATGTATTTCTATACAAATGTACTTATATATGACGACCTCCGTGGTCGAGTGGTTTGTACGCCGGGTTTCATGGTATCACCGACTTGAGAGGTCCCGGGTACGAATCCCGCTGGGGACAGATGTTAGTATGATGAACACGAGCATTTGTACTCCAATCATGGATGTTTAATATGTATTTCTGTATAAATATATATGTACAGTATAAGTATTCTATCCGTTACCCTAGTACCCATAACACAAGCCTTATAGTCATTACTTTGGGGCTAAGCTAATTGGTGTGAGTGTTGGAAATATTTATTTATATGTACTGTATATGTATTCTATCCGTTACCCTAGTATCCCTTAACACAAGCCTTACAGTGCTTACTTTGGGGCTAGGCTAATTGGTGTGTGTTGGAAACATTTATTTATTTATTTAATGGCTCAAATACATTTGGTTGTTAGCCCGTATTCGGGTGCACGAACGACATTACTTTGATTCGGGCACCCGAAGCAATATTTACACTGGAATACGTGCTGGAAGACGGAGTCGCGTAAACAAAACGAAAACTACTCGAATGTGGGCAAACTCGAGACCATTCATTTACCCTTTTTCGTTTACCCGAATTGCATTGGCATTCGTATTCGGGCTAACGAACAAGTGTAATCTTGCCATAATAAATACGAAAAGAAATTCGACACGGCCATTAAGTTAACATAATTTGGTAGGTACGTCCGCCCGGACAGCGAATTACGCAGGTTTTGACCTGGGAAATTTTTCTAGTAAAATTTTCTTTAGATTTATAAATAGTAGAAATAAATTAAGTAACTAGTTTTATATATGTAAACACTCTCTTAGTAGAGTTAACTTAACACATTTTGTTTTACTGAAGTTTAAATTATTTACCGTAAACCAATGAAGGACTTCAGAGACAGCACAATTTACTTCGTCATTACAATCATTACCTCTTCTAGCTTTAAACACTAAAGAGGTGTCATCAGCAAATATGTACTATTTGCTCATACAAATCTCTTGTAAAGTGAGGAAGGACATTGATATAAATAAGGAAAATCAATGGGCCTAATATTGAACCCTGGGACATGCACATAGAAATGGGTGCTTTTGCAGACTCGGCTTCATTTATAAGTACTTTCTAAATCCTAGCAGATTTTGAAAGTAGTTCAACAGAATCCGATACTCTTTATCAAATAGTATCATATAAATAAATAAATTGTTTCTTCAACTTAAGTCAAATGTTTAATAAAGCTTTGAATACACACCAAGTCAAAAGACGTTTTGCCACCTGTATCCTGTAAAGAAAATATCTTAAACCATTACTCACTTTAATAATTACTATAAGATCCAGAGAAGTAGGTACGTACTAGAAACGGTTTTCCGTCAAATTACTTGCATATACACTCGTCAAAAAAAGTTCGAGATCACTGGCAAAAGCTGATATATGTTCAAAATTTAACTTAATCAAGAGAAAATGTTTACGTTATATCTTCTTTTTTTATTTATTAATACACTTTCTGAAATTAAAAAATAAAACTAATTTTATATTTTAGTATAAAAAATTTAATAATTAAATCCTAAGGCGATTGTAATAGAACTTTGATAGAAATAAAAAGATAGTTTGACCAAACTTAAAAACATTGTATTAATAAATTGTCGTTTATCTAATACAAAATAACTCCTCCTCTGGCTCGAACACTTTCTTTCTTCAGAGGACCACGTGAACTGGACCTACTTTGCCACCGTAGCCACAATTCCTACACGCACAAAGAAATTTGGTGACTCATTTCGTTGTCGTACTATTCGTAAGTGAAATTCTTTGCCCGCGCACGTGTTCTCTCCTTCCTACAATCTGGGGTCTTTTAAGAGAGGCGTGAAGAAACATTTTTGCAGGCCGGCAAAGTGAGGATAGTTGGTGTGGCAGTTTATAACTGCTGTACCAGCTATCTTCGTGTTTGGACTTTAATACCACTTAACATCAGGTGGGTAGAGTCATTTGCCTACCTGGCTATATAAAAAAAGCCCGTCATTGCACATGTGAGCATGAAGAATAAATAAATAAATATTCTATTGTAAAAATTAAGTTTCGTTCGGGACCTTTAGAATCGGAAGTCAAAACCCAAAAAATGCGGATAATTTGCATTTTCTACGGGCGCTTTCATTTTAGTTCGCTAGATGGCGGGTAACAACGGCCTGAAGCTCGCTATGGTTTCGTTCACTGGTTTCTATAACAACTAGTTATTTCACATAATATGTAAATTCGTTTATTAATATAACTCTTAGAATTTTTGAATAACACTTGATTGTTAATGTCAGCGATCTCGTGTAATATACTTAGGGGAAAAGAAGTGCATAGCTTGTAAAGATTATTTAAAAACAGATATTTCTAAGTCATTTGAGTTTGTACTGAAAGAAAGCTGATGCAGCGTGCATTATGAAAGAACATAATTTATGTGTTGTTGATGAAATGTATGAAAACATTGTCCCTGAGCTATGTAGGCAACGAATTTAAATACCCTAGATACACCATGTATCCCAATCAAGAAATGCTGGAACTCCACTCAAGCACTTCTTGGTTCACAGTCACGCGCGGACCGTTAAAAAGTCAAGATGCCACAGAGCTCCGTGAAAAAATGCACAAAGAATAATAATATACACTTCTGGACACATCTATTGGCCCACCTTGTATTTTCAGTTTCGTTTGGTCCTAGCTAAAATTTTATGTTAGGTCGAGCAAAAAGTTTTTATGCAGTTTTGAACCTGGCACATTCACAATTTTATTCAATAGTCTTTTTTTGAATTTCGAACACAGAATTTAAAGAAACAAAATACAATTTGGCTACCTGTTTGTTGATATCAAACAATCGAATACTAAGAAAACTTGGTTTTATTGGTTTACTTGGATTTAATTCTTGAAAAAGTGATTGATATCTTTGGTTTTGCAACTAACATTACTTATTCTTAACATTAAGGTGAGGTTCTATCAATCACCTATGGATACTTCACCTGAAGTCGCCGCCCAAGCTGTGGCACTTATTCAGGCCGGACACAGCCAAAGAAACGTGAGTGCTCAACTTAATTTAAGTCGATCTGCGGTCCGAAATGTTTATCGGAGGTACCTAGAGACTGGCGGCTTTGTTCGTCGCCAAGGAAGGCCACGATCTCGGGTCACAACTGAAAGGCAGGATCGATTCATCGTGACGACCAGCTTGAGAAATCGTCACCTTACCTCGAGGTAGCATGCTGAGGATCAAGTTATCTAGCATTTCTTGTGGTAACCTGTCTGGGGTGGTGGCTGCTGGTTCTAAACAGCTCGGTTAAGAGCATCCCACGCGTGCTCTATTGGGTTTAAGTCAGGAGAGCCGGCAGGCCAGTCTAACCTTGTGATTTCGTATTCTCAGAGAGCAGCATTGACTCGTTGAGCTCGATGTGCGGGCGCAGTATCGTCAACCAGTACAAATTGGTGCCAAAGGTCTGACGATTCCATCAATAGCGACTGTTTTGTATCTGTCTGCCGTCATGTAGCCTTGATAAGGGATTAAAGCGTTCTAGCCCCCATAAGAATACCACCCCAAAAGGACACTGATTTCCCGCCTTGAACCATTCCAGTGGCCGTTCTTTGCCTTCAGAGTCTCCAGGTCTTCTCCAAACACGGACATGTCGGTAATCTGAATTTGTACTGATTCGCGATTCGTCAACGAAGAGGCAGTTTTGCCAAATGTTTCCTCTTCGTCTTCTTCGTTTTGCCGGAGCCTAGTCCACTGTAATCTGCGTCGCTGACGTTTCCGTGAATTCAAAGGTGCTCGCCAAGACCTCCGTGCTCGTAATCCAGCCTTGTGTAAGCAATTCCGAATGGTCTGAGTGCTAACTTCAAGTCCGAAGGCGGCCCGTGTTACTGCTTTTAATTTAGTGGCGTTTATTGTTGGGTCGCGGGCTACCAGTAACCTAATGTAGCGCTTCTGAGCTGCTGTCAAAACAGTTGGGCGACCGCTGCGGGGTCGATCAGCTAATTTACCATGCCGTGGTACCTCTGCAACGTGGTTACTTCACAGGATTATAGCCTTCTTTCCCCAAAGTTACAATTCTGGCTCGTAAAACATCTGATAATCTTCATGGCATTTTTTAAATCACAACTTTCCGTTAAAAATATATTTTAAATAATTGTTAATATTGACTAAGTCAGATTATGAGTGTCAGCTTGGATTGCATATCTTTTTATATGGAAAAACTATTGAATTATTTTAAGAGAAATCCTTTGGAATTACGCTACTTTGGAATAAAAGGAAAGAACAAATACCAATCATCTAGAAAGTCTATCCTATCAGTTTGTTACAAACACAGTCACGGACTACGTTTAAAACTTAAACGAACAAAAACGCAGGACCGTGGAGTATAGAAATCCCATGAGGAGGCCCATATCCAGCACTGAACGTCTATTGGCTGAAGATGATTTAAAAATAAAAAAAATCGCAGATTTCTACACGGTTCGAAAGGGCATTGAAAATTAATCTACCTAAATATGGATTATTTAAAAAAAAAACAAAATATTTTTCATATTCAAATTCCACATCATTTAAGCCTTCATACTTCCTCGTGGCCCTAAACCTCGGGAAATCACGGGCAAGTCTCACTTTCAATGAAAATGGACATTGTCCAAGTTAAAAGTGGAAAAGACAAAAACTGACCTAATTATATTCAGAAAGTGTGTATTTGTGTGTTAATGAGTTTTGAAAATTAATATTTTTTCGTTCGCTCCAGTAGGACCCCATTTTCGCTGAATGTGCGACTCACCCGTAATACCCCACGCACGAGATCTGTGATTTCTTTTAAATTTTGAGTTTATTGATTTTGTGATGCTATATGTGCTAAGATTTTGCCTAGCTCGGCAGCAGATAAATATGTAGTTATGTAAAAAAAAATAGTATTGTTTTAGCCCTATAACTTAAATTGTAAATCACGTCTTATTGGAACTAATATTTCTTTGATGATGACGAAGAAAACTTTAATAGCTTTTAAGATCATACCAATAATCTAGATTAGACAATAATCTAATAAAAAGGATTGTCATTGAATAAATAAATGTACACTTACATAGAGCTGTGGGAACAAAAAAATAAAAAATAAAAAACTGATTTTTTGCTGATATCGTGTACAATAACAATTAAATTTATACTTACGGGAGTGTAACCAATCTAAAAAAAACATAAAAATACATGAATACAAATTAAATGACGTCACAGCTTTCATACCCAAATAACTAAAATGGTCCCCAAATGGATGTAAATTTTATAATCGATTATGTTAATTTTCATCAAAGGACTAGAAGAGGAGCTCGATGGCGCAAGTGGTTAGCGCGTTCGGCTGCGGTCGTTGAAGTTAAGCAACTTTCGTAGTGGTCGGTCATTGGATGGGTGATCAAAAATGTACTCTCGCGGGCTCCTCCGTGCTTTGGAAGGCACGTTAAGCCGTTGGTCCCGGCTGCATATTTAGTCGTTAGCACCTACTAATCCGCACTGGGTTCGCGTGGTGGGTTAGGCCCAATCTACCTATTCATCCATAAGGAAGGCCTGTGCCCTACCAGTGGGGACATTAATAGACTGCTGATGTGACTAGAGTGTTATAAATAAATTATTGTAATAAAAAACTCACAAAGTGCAGGTGATCCTGGAATGATAGCACATAGTTTGATTAATTCGCAAAATACCTACAATGCTTAGTACATTATAACTTGCGTAGACGAGGAAATTTTGTCCTCTGTATTACGATGGATCAAAAATAGCGCGTAAAAATAGTACCCTGAACAACCGGCAAAAGTCCCTGAAAAAGAAATGTGCGGCTCGGCACGCAGGACACGTCAAACGAAGTGCCAAACGCCGATCACAATCACCCAACACAAACAGGCCTCCACACACTTGGCAAATATGTAACAGTGCCTCCACGCGCTTAGTGTTTGTTACAAACGCCAAACACACCAAACAAAGTGCCGAACCCCAATCACAATCACCCAAAACAAACAGGCCTCCTCACGGTTGTGTTGACTGTTTGCCGTCTGTTCGTCAAGCGTGTGGGGGTATCACGAGACACAAAATTCAGTCTACCAGAGAACAGACAACAGGCAAAGTGAACGAGGCGATTTAAGCTAAATTGCATGTGATTTAAACTGTCTCACAGACATTCAATCAAATGAAGCCATCAAATTGAAAAGAAAATCGTGTGCGTCTCGGGACAAACAACAGAAGTGATTACTTGGATTCAATCCATGGATTGTTAAAAAGTTCGTCTCTTTAATTGTGCGATTATGAAACCTTGACAATTTTAATCGATGATTTGTTAAGGTGAACAAAAAAATATGATATTGGTGTCGATTTTGGCATGATTCTCTAAACCTAAACTTTGACAGCAGTGTATCTTTGTCATTCTCTATACAGAATAAAAAGGACAGACTGATGTGAAATTTAGTTTGAAGTTTAGAGAATTATGCCAGATTCAACGACATTTTGTAAACGATATAAATCAATGTATTTTTTGAGGGGTGTTTAAACTGTTCGCACATTTTTGAATACACGATTTTAAGTTTTTCTCTCTCAAAAGTTTAGGCTTTGTATAGGCAATATTATTTGTATCTTTTTAATATTTTTGAGCCCCGGTGTTCTCTCTTAAATCTTTTTACAAATTTTATTAGTTCATTTATGTAGTTGTATGCCCATCTATTAATAAAATATTTTGTATATTAAAAAGACACCATTTCAAATATTTTCAATACTTACAGAATCCGATACGCTTTTATCACTTGTCAGCTGAAATAAAAAAGTAATATTTTTATTAGTATGATATAATGGTTAAAACCATCATAATGGTGAAAACGGTAGGTTTACTTCGACACTTTCATCTCACTCAATCCAATAACCCTGTCCAAAGTTTATCTCGATATCAAAATTAATTGAAATAGATTCAGCGATTTCGGCGAGTACGAACAAAAGCTTGCCAAACGAAGATGTGCCAAAAATATGCCAAAAAAGAAAGCAAAGCCTTTCTTTCCACATTATTTTTTTTTCACGTTTCACGATACCGGACATCAAACGATTTTTTTAATATATTTTTTTATCGTCATTTAACATTGTGGGTTACCTACAATGCGAAAAGACGGCGCTGCCTTGCAGCCTAAGAAGGGCTAGAGAAAACTCGACACGGCCATCGGGGCCGCGGTAGCATAATGGTCAGCGCATTCGCCCGGATAGCGAAGGGTGCGGGTTCGAGTCCCGTCTGCTGCCTGGTCCGTGTGGACTTTTTTCTAGTAAAATTTTCTTCACATTTAAACATTTAGCAGTTAAATGTTTAAAACATTTAAAATATAATTATTTTTTATATTAAAAGGGTGGCCACCTGATAGTAAGCGGCCACCATAGCTTAGCATATAGAATTATACACGCTTGTGATACCATATACCAATAGCACAATACATACAAGAGCAGTAGCGTAACTCTGCCATTTTCTTGAAATAGATACCTACGACTGAGTGGAGCGCTAGGGTCGGTATCTACTTAGGCGGGAAGGTGGGTGGACGGAGATGCGCACCGTGCTGGGCGTCGTGCAGGTACTGCGGTCATCGGAGAAGGGAACTGCGAGGGGTAAGCCTAGGTGGGTCTCTTCAGTGAGTAGATGAGAAGGGGGGTCGGGATCGCACAGTTGCGCGTCCCTTCCCTCCAAAGGGGCCAGCGCGGGCGGTGTGACAACCCGTCTGCGCATTGCACGGACCCGCTTGTCTGGGGGATCGACTAGTTGCACCTAGTCCTCCCCCACCTCCGGTGGGGCCTTACCAGCCCCCCACAAATGGGGGTGGTGGCCTGAAGAACTGGCTCGTTCCGTCCCCAGGCCTCATCCTCCCCCAGAGGGTGCACGCAGTGGTTTTAGCGGGTAGTCTCTGTTAGGGACCCTCTGCGGTATTTGCCAGGAGAGGACCCTGACGGGGGAGTCTCGCATATCCTCGTCGGTCGTCAGCCGGCGGGTTGAACGCGTAAATGCGTTTCCACTGCGACAAAAAAAAAGGGTTGGTATCTACAAAATGTAAAACATATTTCTGTAGATTTTTATTGTATGTGTATAGTTACTATTGCTACGTTACGGAATCGAAACAAAACAGACGGCGCAAGCCGCGCGGCGCAGCTAACTTAACTCGGCCAACGACCTATCTCGGCGGCGCGCGACGCGGCACTGCGTAGATTTATCTTGCCAAGATTGGTTAGCGGCCGTGTAAATGAGGTTTGTCTGTGTGCGTGCGTTGATTCGGGCCTAGTATGAAGTCGGAGTACTGCTCTTGTATGTATTGTGCCAATAATATCACTCACTCCATTGCCTCCCTGATCCAATCCCCTACCCCGTGGAACCCTGTAACCTTAGTCACCGGCAAAAACACAACACCACTAAAAGCTTGGACCGTTATCTTCTGTAAGATAGAAGTTACTTCCCCAGACAGCCGCTTCAATTCGAGCGGAAAGTCCGCTATGCCCTTCCTCTCTTGTAACTTAAATTGTAAAAATGATAGAACTAAAACGGGTGGCCCAGTCTTGTGCTTATCCATCGCTAAACTTGTTCTATCGAGTCCACAAAATAATTAAGACACGCTCAGTTATTATACATTTGGAAGCCCACGCGTCATCTACACATTCCTAAATTGCGTTCTAATTGGGATACTAAATGATTTAGTTAGTCAGAAGCCACACTTCTTCCGATTTAAGATGCGAATTAGGATCCTTACTTCCTAAGTGTTATTTCCCTTGACTGAATTAGTTACTGAATTATTTAGAACGTTTGAATTTAGTCAGGTGGAATTAGTGCTTAATCTAGGTCTGTGGCTGATTCCATACCCCTTCTTCTGCCATAGGACCACAAGGAACCAAAAACGCAAAAAAATAACCTTTATTGCAGATAAGAGCGATTCAAAAGAGCTTTTAAAGTCGACTTGAATAAGGGTCATTTTCATTCATTCATTAATTTTAAAAATATTCCTGTAAACAGCGATTGACTGATTTGACTTACCAGCACAGCCTGTTGGAAGAAATAAGAATATGATATTATAATTTTTTCCCTGGATTCAAGCAATTAATACAGGTATAAGTACTCCCATATTTTAAAGGCTACATTTACCGAAGCTTTTAGAGCGCTGGCTGCTATTGCCCATTGTAGAAAGTGCAAGGCGACACAAAGGATCAAAACCATTATTCCACACGTCAGTGTAGTATCAACTTTGAGGCCAAACTAAATCTTCCATGAAACGAGTACTTAATTATTCATTATCGTTGTGTTTAATCTACGTTAATTTGTGTGACTAATTCATTAAATTTTCAAGTATGTGAAGATTGTTAAAACCAATAACCTTCGCAATTTTTAATATTTACGGCTGCACCCAGAGAAATTAATCAAATTAAAGTTGATGTTGTAACTTTTGGGGATAACAATATTAACAATAAACTGAAACAATACGTTAATGAAGCATTGAATAAAGATCACATAAAAATGACACTACCTAAATCTAAAGAAAATAAAACTAGAAACATTCCAACTGGACCAGGCAGCAGGCGGGACTCGAACCAACACTCTCGCTATCCGGGCGAATGCACTGACCATTATGCTACCGCGTCGCTACCATATTTCTAGTTATATTTTCTTTAGATTTAAAAATCGAGCATTTACATACTTAAAAATTAAAATTATAACTATGACACTACCTGTTGGTGGTAATATGTTTCTGTCACTAAGTAGGATTCCAGGGCTTCACGAGGCCCTTGGAGCCTCGGCAAGGCCGGGAAGCTGATGGGTGCGGAGTCGTGGTAGAATCCCTAACGGGGACCCCGCGGCTTCGCGTTAAGCAGTGTCGAAGGTATTCGCAGGACTTTATGAGCGGATATTATGCTGTAAAGCGCCCGTAAGAGTTGGTGTGGTTGGTGGTCCTCGGTGGTCAGCCACTGGGGACCCCTGCCGTGGAGCCCCGGCTAGGCCGGGAGGCGGCTGGGTGCGGAGACGCGGAAGAATCCCTAAACGGGGATCCCGCGGTTTCGCACTAAGCAGCTTAGAGGATATACGCAGGGTTTTTTTAGCGTTACGGGGTCCTCAGTGGGCAGCCACTGCGGGGGCTCGTAAGGCTTGCGGGAGCCAGGTGTGAGGTCCGTTCGGCGGTGTGCCTGCGTCACAAAAAAAAAGTGGTCGGTCATTGGATGGGTGACCAAAAATCTTCTACCTCGAGTTCCTCCGTGCTTCGCAAGTCACGTTAAGCTGTCGACTGCAGTCGCGGCCGGGATGGCCGCAGCTGCAGTCGTCCACCAATCCACACTGGGCCCGCGTGGTGGGTCATGGCCCAATCTCTCTATTCCATCCATAGGGAAGGCCTGTGCCCCAGCAGTGGAAACATTAATAGGATGATGATGATGATACTTTAAAAACCATTTCAATAAAAACATTTAAATTAAAGTATAAACAGATAAGCAGGTAAATTGTCACATCGTTTAGACACGCAACTCATTCATTAATATCCAATTATGAATTCCATCAAAATGAAAATTCACTAAATCGCAACCTATCAGGGTGTACAAGACTGTTGATTGTGTCCAAATGTTTTGTTAATTGGTGAATATGTTTCGTTAATTGGTGAATATGTTTCGTTAATCGACCAATATGTTTTGTTAATTGGCGGACATGGTGTTCATAGCGAAATGCGGGTATAAAAATGTTGTGTGGTGTACCAGAAGATAAGTGTTACTTCTGAGCGTCGAATACAGAATCATACAAGATGCGTGCACTAGTGGTGTTAGCTTTGATGGCTGTTGTGATTCTCCAGGTGCACGCATATCTTGTACAGCACTTCGACGATGGACATCAGCAGGTAAAAATCTTAACTATTTACTTATTTCGAGTGTCAATTTGACCTCAATACACGTTTCATGTCAGCTTTCAATTGAGTTAGAGGAGCTCGATGGCGCCGGTGGTAAGCGCGTTCGGCTGCGATTGTTGAAGTTAAGCAACTTTCGCAGTGGTCGGTCATTGCATGGGTGACCAAAAACATCTATCTCGAGTTCCTCCGTGCTTCGGAAGGCACGTTAAGCCGTTGGTCCCGGCTGCATCTGCAGTCTTTAGCACCCGCCAATCCGCACTGGACCCGCATGGTGGGTCATGGCCCAATCCCCCTATTCCATCTATAGGGAAGGCCTGTGCCCCAGCAGTGGGAACATTAATAGGCTAATGATGATTTCAATTGACAACATTATATGAAATGAAATAGGGGGAAAAGCAGCTCTTGCTGTGTTTCTTGTCGGTTCTTCTCAGCACAAGGTCTTTCGTCGTAGATTTGCGAACGGATTGCGTAGCTTTCAACTTTTACATGTGCTTGTAAAAGCCTAAACTGAATAAATGAATTTTGATTTTCATCTTTTAAGAGAGATAGCGCTTGGTAGATTTTTCTCTTGAATTGAAGAGCCCGTCTGGGGAAGTAATCCCCACCTTACAGAAGACCACGGTAAAATAACACCACTTTTTGGTGTTGTGTTCCTGTGAGAAGTTGGTTCAAGGTAGGCAAAGGGGCGAGTGATATTTTTGGTATCACAAGCGTCAAATGCTAATAACTTGACCAAAACTTGGTTCTGATTGCGCCGTTGTTCTCGGGTGAGAGCGTTGATTGGTTCGATTGTTTGCTGTTGCATCATTTGATTGGCTATTATCTATTAGGTGGAAGTGTAGTGGGGGTTAGCCGGCGACATCGGTTCCCGTAAAAACGGACTATTTCCACCCGTTCTATGTTCTGTGGTAAATACATTCAAGGTTCGTATGCACAGTACACAGTGAAGTGACTTTCGCTATTTTATTTACAGACGGTCATTATTGTTAAGTAATTAATGTCATTACAATTAGTATAAAACTTTTCTTTATTTCAGGTCAATTACGTTCTACTAAAAGTGAGTACCTCAATTAATTGTAGTTATGTTTCTGCACCAATTTATAAAACCCTTCTTTATGAACTTAAATTAAAACTTTGGTATCTCGCAAAACATGAATAAGAAGTATGCCTTTATCAATTAGCTCTTAATATATACTATTATATAAAAAGAGAAAACAGACTGATAGACTGACTGACTCTTCAACGCGTAGCCGAAAGGGCTGGACCTAGAATGATGAAATTTGGACAGTAGGTTCCTATTATTGCCTAGATAAGTATTAAGATGGGATTTTTTGAAATTCAGCCTCTTAAACGTGAATTTGAAAAAAATGTTTATTCAAAAAACTTATCCGTTGGACCTATTTACTGCAAATTTTGCATAAACATTATTAAATAGATGTACACTAAGCTAATTAAATAAAATATTTACAAATACTATATATTTAAAAATAACTTGAAATTTGTTTTATTATACTATAATACTTATAATAAAATAAAAAAAAAACCAACAATTCTACGGGAAAGAGGCTACGGGTTTGAAATTCTGTCAGTCAATCAGTTGTGATCTGGCAAATAGTCAAAAAGTCTGTCTGTTGTAATTCGCCAAAGAGTCCAAATGTCTGTCTGTATGTCGTGGCGTGACTACGAGGCTTACAAAAGGCAATGGAAAAGAACTATATAAGAAACTCAGTCCTGCTACTTTCAAAATCTGTATTAATATATTCATGTTCTTTTTTCGGATGCTGATCCATTATGTTTCCATAGTATTTAATACCAAATATTATCTCAATCGGTTCAAAGGTATAAGAGTGAAGAGGGAACAGACAGACTGACGCACTTTCACAGTACTTGTATGGATAGTCTATAGTAAATGTATTGTATGAATGTATGTTATGTCGAAAGCTGATACTTATTAGTTAATGTTTTTTATTATGCACCGTTATAGCCAGGACAGGTGGGAAAGTTAAAATATTACTTAACATAGTTGTTAATTCGAAAATAAAAAATGCGATATTTTCCCTTTTTAAAATTAATTGAATGAAGTAATTTGCCAAATGTCTTGCTGTCAATGTCTTGTTTCAAAGTGATTATGAATACCGTTGCTACCGGGTTCTAATGAAGCGATTTAAATTGATCAACTTTTATCGTTCAATTGTTTTTGAAGTGATAACTTCTTATGGGAGGGTAAACCGCTTCGTTACGTAACGCGTTACGGTGCCAAACTGTCTGGCTTCCCTTCCTCCGAAGCGCCGCTTAGATTAGTTTAAGTTATCACTTCTGTTGAGCGTCCCGAGACACACACGATTTTTTTTCGTTCGCTCCAGTAGGCCGCCATTTTCGCTCAAAGTGCGACTCGCCCGTATACCCCAAGGTTTAGGGCCTTAAGGCCGTATGAGGGCTCAAAAGACGCGGAATTTAAGCGCCGCCACCGGCATATTTCTTGTAGTTTTCATACATTTTATATGGACTCGCCACACACGGTACGCCAGTGGCCGCCAAACGCTGCAAATCGTCGTAGCTCGCTTCTTGTGGCTTACTCGCGCGATTCCCCACCCCTCTCTCCCTTACCTTAGTCGGCCGCTGTCGCCCGCTTCAGCCACTTTAGTAGCCGCTTCTAGCTTCTCGTGGCGGCGGCGTTTGTGGCTGTGGCGTGTGGCCCATGTGCGGCGACAGGAAGGAGCTTTAAGAAGATATAAGAAATATTTTGGATAAGTTAGTTTAAAAATAATTATGAAATGTAACTTGTTAATTTTTTGCCACTTTATATTTTTTCTTTAATAGGATTACGATGATGTAGCATCGCCATCGGTGAGTATAATTAATTCTTTAACTAGGCAGCCCTTTTAAACACAATACATAAAGTGATGAGTTTATTACGTATCGTGTTCTTTTAAACATAAAATAGATAAACTTATTCAATCTTACTGAATCTTCAGTTTTCGTCTCCGCATTTGTTATGCTATATAAAATATATTGATATTAAATAGATAATAATATTATTATCGCCATTTTGATTATTATTGATTGCCATAATTTCCTCTGCGACATTAATGATTTTACAGTTATTTTTAAATTAATTTATTACTATATATATTGTATGACATTTTTATATTATTGTTTTCCAAATGATTTCATCGTGTAGAATAATGTTCAATGCCTGTTTTGTAATGCATGCGGTGGTGCCCTCTAATTAATAGCGCCTAATTATCGCCTATGCTTGTATCTTGTTAGCTTGTATTGGTGTATATCTTGTAAATCGTCCTTAAATAAATAAAGTAAAATAAAACTTCATTGTTGGGCAGGTCACTTAGACAAGGCGCAAAAATAAAAATCCAAATATGGTTTTTTTTTCACTACCTATATAAAAACCCTCATTATGAGATATGGAAATCTTTAATGGTGTACGAGATTATTTACGTCGTATCAGGTATAGAGACTGCTATACCTCAAATGTAAGAGTTCTCATACGTGCAACCCCGCGCGGCGCGCCGTAACCGCTACAACACACGCCGTCGGACCGCACCTTAACATCCAGACCCCTTTTACCCAAACATGTTCACACTCCTTCGTTCACGACATCCGTTGTATTACGTACAGATATACGAGTGATAAATATACATAGTAATTAAAATTATCAATGTCCTTTATTTCAGCCCTACTTGGCCCTTTTGCCAGTAAGTACCTATTTCAATCAATTTGTGGTTATGATTCTGCGCGGTGTTTAACAAACTTACCTTTGATAACTGAAGCTAAGTATATTTTTATTTGTTAAAGCATTTGACTGCTAGATGTTCAAATGTAGAGAAAATTTTACTAGAAATTATCCCGCGCATAATTGCCTTGCCATAATTTTAGAGGAAATTCGACATGTTCATCAGGATTGCGGTAGCATATATGTACTTTGGTACATATACATATATATAAAGTGTCTGATTATATTTCAGACAAAAATGCTTAATAAATAATTATGATGAAGATGAAATGATTATGTATTGACACTGTAACAATATATTTTTTTGTAAATATTGTTACATAATTATTTGAAGTTAGTTTTCGCGACGATTCAAAAGAGTTGTTTTTGCATCCAATTTGAATAAAAATATTTTGATTTTTGGTATGAAACCCCCCGTTTGCGAGTCCTCGCCTCGTAATTGCCAGTTTTTATAAAGTTCATATTTTCGCACTTGATTCCGACACTTTGTTGCTTACAAATCTTAAAATCGAGGCTTAAATTATGATAAATTGATATATATTTATATGCTGTATAGAATAATATTAAATGTCTAATAAAATGCATTTTTTTAGTTGAAGGTACGTTAAAACTTATTTAATACTATTAAATACAAACTAACTAACAATTAATTAACTCTTTCCTCTTTATAATATTAGTATAGAAAAAACACTATAGATGATCGTGTGATGTTCATTGTCTCGTCAATAGAAGATATATCTTCATCACCCCCCACTGTATAGATCGTCGAAACATAGATTAATTTTAGATTTTCAGAGTATTTATTGGTCTTATGGTCT